GTTGTTTAAGTAGAGTGAGATGTTACCACTGGCATAGCAAAGAATTGGGTGAATATTTCATTAGAATGTTTTGATTTTCCAATTTAATTTGAAAAATGGAAATACAAAAAACAACCCACGGTAATTTTAGTTTCCTGATTTTCGTTTTGAAACGAAAACTAATGATTGAAGGGTACACACGGATTTTACAACGGATTATAAAGGATATGATTTTCCAATATGAATTAGAAAATGAAAAATAACAATAAACGAATGGAAAATTGTTTTTCTTCTTATTTTATTTAATGAACGGAATAATAGATGATTGAAGGGTACATCGGATTATCCAGAATAAACAATATTGTATAGGATTAGCAATAAAAGAAAGTTTAAACTACACATGTTAACATATACTAACCATTAATAGGAATTCTAAAATGCACAGGAGTAGCAGAATTCATATGGCAAACATTTGCATAAACTTGCCATATAAGCATTTAAGCGTCCTGCACATACGCACGGGCTCATTCACCGCGTTCTCTTAGTATTAGATCCAGTGTTTTCTCCAGCCCTGTGTGGCGTAGTGGGATTGTCAAGTCTTTCGCTTGGAAGATCAGGGTTCTGAGCCGCCGGCCAATCCTCAAAATTATATTACGGGGGGAGTATATGAATCAGATTACTCATTACTGAATAAAGTTCATTTTTTTCCTGCTGTTTGGTTGGTGCAGATTTTAAGTTATTTAAAACAACATTACTACAGTCTAGCAACTATTTTAAATGTGTTGGCCTAATTACTAAGTATGTTTTTAGAAAAAAATTTTAAACGCAACACAATCATAGTGTCGTAGACTGTACTTGAAACCCGAGTCCCGTCACACATAGACCCACACTCTTTCTCATTGAGGCTATAAAGCCACAGGAAAGTTGTCCGGTGAACAGAGAACAAAGACCGATGAGAATCCAGTTTTCCATAACCCTGCACACAATGGCCCACAGGTGTTGTTCGGTCCATTGCACGCATCACTGGGGAAAACAATAAGATAAAAGACGCGAGATCACACGTGAGTCACGTGTGATTCACGCGTGAAAGGCGACAAAACGAAGTGGGACCCTACTGTAAGCCACAGAACGCAAATCCTATAATCCGATTGTTTAAAGTAGGAAGGAGGAGAGGATAGTTGCTAAAATCCCGATACTTTTCCCACAGACTTACTACCCTAGCAGCATGACTGACAGTCAAAGATGTCTACCTTCCTGAGCCTACCTTCCATCCATAATGCTAAACTAAAGACGACTGTTTTAAGCCTAAACCTTGAATGTGGAGACGTGGTCCGCACGAAGGGAGAAACAGCATCAGCCGCGGCTAGGGCTAGCCCATGCTACAGCACCCAATATTTTGTGGATTGTACAACACCAAGTGTGTAAACCAAACCAGACTAACAACCTAACCATAGGCAAAATTGTTGCTAAAGGGCAAAAGAGTGTTTTACGTCTGGCCTTGAATGTGGAGACCGTAATCTCTTCCTATTCACAGTACAGTTGCTTGGTAGCTAAATGCTCTGCTGCTAGACAGTACTTTTTGAGACTTAGGTAACCAACAGACGCTGGCGATTTTGTAGAGCACAGTGCTCCGGTTTGGTTGATATAGCACTTAACGTGTCTTGAAGATAAGAACACGAGCCAGGCCATTCATAGGCTTTGTAAACTAAAAGAAGGATTTCCGTGTCACTTTTAGGAAGGATATTCTTGATTTTAGCGATGTTCCGCAAGTGAAAAAAAGCTGTTTTAGTTGCTTGGCTTATATCAAGCCTTGAAGGATGTGCAACATCGAATTCCACCCCCAGAATAAGGCGATGATTTGTGATTCAAATTGGACAAAGTGATACCGATCCGATAGAATAGGATTTAAACCAGCCAAGCCTGTTACCTCTGAGACCTATAACACATTCAGCCTTCGCGCAGTAGAATTCTGAGTCTATTTGGTTAAATGACACTTGGTCCAGTAGGACAAACACAGACACTTGTCCACTATTGACAGCTAGTAGTATGTCATTATTTACTTTGACTAGTGCCGTAACAGTGCTAAGATGAGCTCTTAATCCCATTGAAAGGTTTCAAACATAATTATTATTTTCCCCTGAAAACCCGGATGGAGAGCCAAGCAGTTTGCTCAAAGATTTTCCAGATTTTGTTTTCTTCAGAAGGGGTTTGATTACCGTCGGTTTAAAAAGCTTGTGGTACAAAGTGCCACAATTGTAAAGAAGTGTAATTAAGTTTAAGCGATAGGCTCATTGTGTCCCAAAGGAGCTGGGTCTTGGAAGAGCCAAGCTCTATAAAAGACACATTAGGGGCGACGTGGTTCAGTTTGTAGAGCATAGACCTTTGATCCTGAAGTCGTGGGTTGGAACCCAGGACTCCACTGACTCCCACTGAGTCTGCTGTCGTTTGTGTCCTATGGCAAAGCACCTTAACCTAAGGGCTGATGCACAGTGGGGCGGCTGTGGCTGTAAAGTGGCAAACGCCGTTGTGTCCTAGGGCAAACACTTTCACCTCCATTGCCTAGAATGGTCTAGTGTGTGTGTGAATGGTTGGTGATGGTCGAGGGCCAATGGCACATAACAGGTGCCGTTCGCTCTTTCCAGTGTGCCCTACGACGCAGGGCAGCTGTGGCTACAGTAAGCGTTTTATCACCACAGTGTATGAAGTGAATGAATAATGCAGCCCGCGAAAATTCAATTTTGGTAGAACGTTAACCAAAATTACCCCCGTTCCCAGGCCGGTTCGACATCTCCCCAAGCCTATCGCTCAACAGACGCCCCTATGTCCAATCACCGTACCGACTACGCCTGCCCGCATAAAAACGGGAGGGAACTCCGCACTAGCTCGGCTCCGAAGCCTTTCATGAATCGTTCTTGAGAATCGCTTTGGTCTACTCACGCTTACTCCTGCTTCCCCTGCTGCCTCCTGTCTTGCAGCGTGTGGCCTGCTCCTCCTCCGCGTTGCTCGCACCTGCTACGGGATATCGTGCTGTTGGCCGAGGTTCATTGCCGCTCTCACTCCTTTGCAGGCTCTTCTGCGGGTTTCCGCCGCTGCTGCGTCCACTCTCGCGGCTGCCGCGGCATACGGCCGGTCATGGCCCGGTGCGGTGGAAGCCGAGCGGCATCCCTGCCCTCCTCGTGCCGGTACGCGTGGTCCCTTTTGTTGTCCCCTTGTCTTCTGCTTGTGGTAAGTATGTCGCACGTTTTAATCCCCTCCCGCATTGTACAGCAAGGCTCAGTTCGCCCCGCGATTTGTACAGCAGGCTCGTGGCCACAGTGCATTGGTGGGCAAGCTCAGTTTAAAGCCACTCGCATTGTTCTGCAGGCTCTCTTAACCCAATCTCCGATAAATCCTTCAATCTGACTGCCAGCAAATCCTCACATGTGGACTGGCAAGACCTCAGTTTAATGCCCCTCCACAATGGACTGCGTGCCATGTTTTAATCCCCTCACATTGGCCTGCATTCTCTCTTTGAAATCCCTCTCTGACTGCGAGCTCTGTTTTAAAACCCTCTCTTGGACTGCAAGACCCCGTTAAATCCCTCTGGACTGCGGCTTCCCAAATGAATCCCTGCCCTCTTTGGACTGTCGAGCTCCCAGGTAAACCCGCACGGAACTGCTTATATTCTGAACTGCTTATATCTGGAGCTGTTATAAAGACCGTATCCTAGGAACTTGCTTCATCGCTGAACTGCTTATATATATGTAACTGCTATATATGGAACTGCTTATAACTATGAAACTCTATATAATGGAACATGCTTAAATATGGAACTGCTTATATATGAACAGCCCGAGGCTTGTATACGGAACATGCTTATATGGAAAGTGCTCATATTGGATTCATATATGGTACCTTCTGCTTATAACTGAACGCTTATATATAAAAATAAATAAATTAATTATTTATATTAATATTTATGTTTATTATTTTTTTATATATAAGCGGTTCCAGATAAAAGCAGTACCCTAAGCAATTCCAATATGAGCAGTTCAATATAAGCATTTCCGTATACAAGCCGATCCATATATAAGCAGTTCCATATATAAGCAGTTTCCATAATAGCAGTTTTCATATATAGCATTCCTTATATAGCAGTTCCATATATAAGCAGTTCGCATAGAAGCAGTTTCCATTACGGTATAACAGTCCTCAGATATAATCATTTTCCAGATATAACAGTTCCGTTCGGGAATCACCTGGGAGCACGCAGTCCAATGAGAGATTCAATTTGGGAGCCGCAGTACCCAGAGGGCTTTAAACGGCCTTGCAATCCAGAGAGGGAATAAAACAGAGCTCAGGCAGTCCAGAGTAGGGATTTAAAGAGAGCCTGCAGGCCAACGTGAGGATTAAACTGAGCACCAGTCCAATGTGAGGGATTAAACTGAGGTCTTGCAGTCTAAAAAAAAAAAAAAAAAAAAAAATTGTAGGAATAGCTTGCAGTCAGAGTGAAGATTTAATCGGAGCTTGGGTTTAAGAGAGCCTGCAGAACAATGCGATGGCTTAAACTGAAAGCTTGCCCACCAAAGCACGGGCCCACTATATCCTGCAGTACAAAGCGCGGGCGAACAGAGCCCCATCAGTACAATGCTTAGGGGAATAGAACCGCGCGCATATCTTACACACAACGCCAGACGACAGGGACAACACAACGGGGAAAAGGAAGGGACCACCCGTACCGGCACGAGAGGCAGGATGCGCACGGCTCCCACCGCACCGGGTCCAGACCGGCCGTATGCATCAGCAGCGCGCGACGAGACGAGCAGCGGCGAACCCTCCCCCCCCCACCTCCCGGCCCGCCCCCCCCCCCCTCCACCATAATATAGTTAATGTAAAATTGTGGGGCTCTTAAAAAAATACAACTGACAATTTTGTGTATAAATAAACACCACAATTATCAACATCTTTTGTTGGTGTAGGTCTATACAGGAGGGAATCTCTATTTAATTTCTAAGAGAAAAAGAAGTTGCTAGCCACCAATCTCAATAATATTGGTTACCTTTTAAAGCAGGAACATAGTCTTGCTGGGTGGTTATCTGCATGTACTCTGCAGCTGCTTCTTTGAACTTGCTGAGGGTCTGTTTGATGGCAGCAGCCTGGTACAGACTGTAGATGGAGGAGGGCTGCAGTTGCTGGGCTTTGGTAAAAGCTTTAAGAGCTGCTGTGAAAACACCTACGATTCAAAAAAGCTCCCCAAACACACCCAAACACACCCAGTCCTCTGGGTCTCCCCGCAGAGCAGCTGGAGACTACCAATAGTGGCGCACACTCCGATCAACTAAAATACACACAGAAACCCTCTTTTAATCACAACACCACTGCTCCAATCACTCACAAAAGACACATACCAATCCCATAATTCAACTAGCTGAAATTCTAATCTTTTGTCCAACTTCGTGCTATTGTCTAACATACCGACTTCAGATAAGTGGAAAAAGCTATGAGTCAGCACCCGAACCCTAAACTTCTTAGCGCCCCTAGGAGCAAACACGAGTCCTCAGCACCACTCATCCACCGTCCGCCCACGTTATTGCCACGGCACCATTTTTCTCGGAAGCTCTCAAGCACAGCCGTGACAAATAAAGATCGAGTGGAGCACCTCTTTCTTGTCTTCACCTTGCACACACTTCATCGAGAGTCTAGAACTCTTATTCTCTCTCAAATGCCGATTGCTCATCTGCCGCAATATTATCAAGACCCAATTAACATTCCATTCTCCAGAACTGCAGCGTGACAAATCTCAGAGAGAAAAATATAGACAAGAGGTCAAGCACTACACGAAGAGCATAGACACTCCCAGACACTGTCCCAAGTACAGGTCTCCAGCATCAACCAGACGACCCCATCACCTGATCCGCAGCAAGCACCCTAGGTCTCACGCGTGGCTCATCGATCAAGCCTACTAGACAGCAGCTCCAAGAAATCATATGTCTGAGTAGTATGCTTTATTCAGTACACCGTGAGCCCCAGAAGCTTCACGTGAGTTGGAGCGCTCATACAGAGGCCACGTTTTGTCATGCGTTCATAGCCTTAACATCGCGCCGCAGGAGACATCCGCCAAAAACGAGCAGCAGACAACTCCACTAGATTCGAGTGATCGCGATACAGAGTCATGAAGTCAAGCTCGTCTGCTCACGAAGAGCGAGATAAACTTCACACCCGACGAGCTGCATTGAGCTTACATGAAGACCCCCATACTCTAGCAGCAGTCCAACTTGCTGTCTACAAGCATCTGCCATGCACTAGGCCTGTTTATGTATTCCACAAACCTTAAGTAGCAGAGTATGGGCCTTGCTGCGATCTATACGAGTCTCTACTCCCATGTTCCAATAGAGTTCTCCCAACAAGAAATGATATTCTCCACTCTCTGGGTTTTTCTCTGCTGCTTCCAGAAAACTAAAGAGGAAACAATCTTCAAATTCCTTTGTACATTCTGAATACCACTAAATAATACAATAATGTTACCTTTTCTCTGCCATGTCTAGTTGTTTCTGTAAGAAGTATGCACGCCCTTGCAGTGCCAAGGCATCTGCGAGATTAGGAGTAGTCACCAACAGATCCGTTGATATCTTGCGAGGATAAAAAGTAAGCAGAATTGTTTTTTTTTATTCATTGTTGATTATATTCAATCCTATTTACAAAATAAGTTATACCTTAAGAGCTTTCTCAACTTGTCCTTTGTTGAGATAGGCCCATCCTTTTAAAGAAACCAGAGCTGGATCATTTTCTGAATGAGCCACCTAATGTTTCAAAAATAATATAAAGTATTAATAATTCAGTTGTTATGCTTTGAAAGTGTCAATGAGCACACATTTTAACCTTTGAGAAGATCTCTAGGGCGTCATCCGCTGCTGCTTCGCCTCCACATCGAACTAATGCCTCCACCTTCAGCCTTAACAGCTTAGTCATCAACTCATGGTCTTCGGGTTTACATGTAGCCAGACCTATATATTACAAAATGTAACAGATTTGCCTCATACCCATGTCATCTCAAATTTGAATACTAATAACAATTACTACCATTGGAGCAAGATGCCACACTGTCTGAGTATCTGTGTAGTTTAAGCTGAGCTTGGCCCAGACTGAACCATCCAAGAGAAAAGCAATGTTTCTCCAAGCCTACATCAGAGTGCAGAGAGAATACACAAATGTACTTCGTTTAACCCCAAATGCACAAAGTTCTACCACAAACTGACCTTGTTTAAGAGGTATAATGGCATCTTTATACTTTCCATCATGAAATGCTTTGAATCCCACACCTAACTGAGCTAATCCACTGCCAGGATGTTTATCCTGTAGCAGAGTAAAACTGCCCATGGCTTCTTCACTGAAGTCACCTGAAAGGAAAAGATTGTGGGTAAATGTAAAAGGTTTTAGTCATCAAAATACTGACTAACAAATGTTACCAGTGGTGAGATAATCTAAACAAAGGACTTCAAGAGGATAGCGTTCAGATGGGTAAATTGAGGCCATAGTTTCACACGCTTCCTTCAATCGAGGCCTCTTTTGGGGCATCTTACATAGCAAATAAACAAATGGAAATAAATTACATATGTTTGGTGAACAAGCACATGTTTAAATGTAAAATGATGACTTACTTTTGAAAGGCATTTAATTAATTCAACTGAGGCTGCTTTGTGTTCCTCCCCAGGGACAGGATCCGCATGAACCAGAGCTTGTTCAAAGGCTGTTACTAACTGAAAACATAAATGTGCAACAACAACAAAATCACGAATCTGTTTTTGTCTATTGGAGTTCATTACACAATCATACATAACCAAATCCTACATGCAGTAGAGTTTCATCCTTTGGTTCTCCATCTTGAGTGAGGAGTTTAGACATCTGCTGCCATAGCTGGAGGGTTTCTTTCTTATCCACACCATCTTCCTCCTTAAGTTGAATGTGCTTAGTCCATAATTGTGCAAGCTAAAATTAAAAGTACAATTTTCTAAAACTCCTATGCAATAACATTCATCATAGTATTGCAACTGCACAGTACCTTTAAATATTCTTTGTCAGACTCATATATTTCTGACAATTTGTTGATGGTTTCATAACATTTATTTCTATCTGTCCTGTAAATATAAACATATAAATAAACATAACGACATTAGCGTAATGAAGGAAGTAAAATAATCATAAAAATAATCCTTGTTGTTACTTTGAATACAGTTCCACGAGTTTCTCATACACGCTGGGAAGGTCCACTTTAAAGTCCCATTGATCAATCTTCTGATAGAGATTTGCCAAGCCCTAAAACAAGAGTATCACCGAATTACGACAAACTAAATATACAATGTAGGACTAGATTCAAATAATGTATCATAGCTTTGATGTTGTGGATGTTGTGGGACTGTCTTGGCAGACACGTCTCGGCAACATCGCGTGGTGATCGGGGGCCAGGGTGGTGGTCCCTCTCTACAAGAAGGGGGACCGGAGGGTGTGTTCCAATTATCGTGGGATCACACTCCTCAGCCTCCCCGGTAAGGTTTACTCCAAGGTACTGGAGAGGAGGTTACGGCCGATGGTTGAATCTCGGATTCAGGAGGAGCAGTGTGGTTTTCGTCCCGGTCGCGGAACACTGGACCAGCTCTATACTCTCCATCGGATACTCGAGGGTTCATGGGAGTTCGCCCAACCAGTCCACATGTGCTTTGTGGATTTGGAGAAGGCGTTCGACTGTGTTCCCCGGGGTGTCCTTTGGGGGGTTCTCCGGGAGTACGGGGCCAGAGGTCTTCTGCTGAGGGCCATCCGATCCCTGTATGACCGGACCCAGAGCTGCGTGCGCATTGCCGGCAGTAAGTCAGACCTGTTCCCGGTGAATGTTGGCCTCCGACAGGGCTGCCCTTAGTCACCGGTTCTGTTCACTGTATTTATGGACAGAATTTCTAGGCGCAGCCAGGGGCCGGAGGGGGTCCGGTTCGGGGACCACAGGATTTAATCTCTGCTGTTTGCAGACGATGTTGTCCTGTTGGCTCCAACGAACCAGGACCTGCAACATGCACTGGGACGGTTTGCAGCCGAGTGTGAAGCGGCTGGGATGAGAATCAGCACCTCCAAATCTGAGGCCATGGTGCTCGACCGGAAAAAGGTGCCCTGCCCTCTGCAGGTGGGTGGAGAGGCCCTTCCTCAAGTGGAGGAGTTCAAGTATCTCGGGGTCTTGTTCACGAGTGAGGGAAGAATGGAGCGTGAGGTGGCTCGGGCATCTGTTCCGGATGCCTCCTGGACGCCTCCCTGGGGAGGTGTTCCGGGCACGTCCCACTGGGAGGAGGCCCCGGGGAAGACCTAGGACACGCTGGAGGGACTATGTCTCTCAGCTGGCCTGGGAACGCCTTGGGGTCCCCCCGGACGAGCTGGAGGAAGTGTGTGTGGATAGGGAAGTCTGGGCGTCTCTGCTTAGACTGCTGCCCCCGCGACCCGGCAACGGATAAAGCGGAAGAAAATGGATGGATGGATGGAGCTTTGATGTTTACACTTTTCATTTGAGCCATATTTGTCATACACTGCACCATCATACCTGCCAGGCCAATAACTGCTCAGGGTCCAGCTCCACAGCCTTTTTATACGCCATCTGCGCTTGATCTGGTTGCTCAAGTTCAGTTGCTGACAAGCCAATGAACACCCAAGCGTTGTAGTTGTTCTCAACTTTCAAAACGTCCTTAAAATAAAATGATTATGAGCGACGTGCATTAATGTACTATTTATTAGAACACCACGTCTCTCACCTTGCAGTGCTTCAGTGCTTCTTTATATTCCTTGTTTTTAATAGCATCTCGGGCACTCTTGAGCGCTGATTTCACTGTTTTGGTTGACATTTTGAAGTTACCTATGAATATAGCGTACATTACATTTAGGGTGTAACATGGAATAAAGATATTAGACATTAGATCCAAGGATAAAAATAACTACTGTTATCATTAAACACCACTGTAGTTATAACAATATAATGACGTGTCCTGCTTTTACACATATATCCTGTTAAATGGTCGCACTTTGCTTTGTTTCCAAAATGCTATCATACTTTTTAGCATAAGCTGACTACGTGGATGCTAATACAGCTAAGCTAGCAGCTAAGATCTGCTTTCCAAACCTCACCTGTTCAGCACAACTTCAGACTCTAATACACACGTAATCCTCACAGATATGTAATCACTCTACTATATTCATTCTATGGTCAAATCAGAAAACTTCAGCTGTTTGTTTTTGCTTCAACCCGGAAGTACAAGTGCGTTAAACAAAATAATGTTTTATTATTGTGGCAACATTAACAATAAATATTGTAGCACATACATTGTAAAATAATAAAATAAACTTAAAATATTGAATAAGCATAAAGGCATGTGTTTTTGCACTAGAAAACAAATACAAACAAAAACAAAGAACATTGTCCCTACTACGAGTGCCGCTCCACAAATCTGACCAGTTCATGATCTGGAAGAATGGCTTCTCTTCCTGATTGTTTACATGGATAGAGACTTGAGGAAGACTTTCTATGAACACATTTTGTCCCGTCTAACTGTAAATTACAAATGGAATTGTAGAACTAAGCGTTTAAATAGTAAGTAAGTAAGTAAGTAAGTAATCTTTATTTATATACCGCCTTTCACAGACCAGAGTCACAAAGCGGTTTACAATTGTTATTTTTGGGCATTTGTCTCTCACTCCAAACAGAGATGGGAGCGGGGTCGCCGAACAGGAGGCGCATGCCAATCCTATTATACATATTTTTAGTGGTAGGGGAAACCGGAGTACCCGGAGGAAACCTACGCAGACACGGGGAGAACATGCAAACTCCACTCAGTGTCTCAAATGTCTACTTTCAATGAAATGTGCAAACTTACGAACTTTAAATTTGTACTGTCACTTTAAGAATATATCCACTGATCAATTGCTTTTTCATTCGCTTCTGAATCCTTTTTCCAATCTACATTCCACCTGAGATTTGCAATGACTTGGCTGTAATTTTGGCCAAGGCTATTTCTCCAAAAGGTAAAAGCTTTTTTATTATACTCATGGACAGTATCAGAAACCAATGGATAATTTAGTATAGTGCATAAAACCTTTTCCAAGCGTGCCCTCAGATGTGGGAATTTATCAATTACATTGTGCAATTCTTCTGTATCCTGTGATAAATCTACAAAATAAATGCATACATTTTAGAAATGTTGTGTTAGACAAAATATTCTCTTCCGCCAAACTTACCAAAAAGCTGTGGTGGCACTTGCTGGCCATCTGAATATGTGATGTATTTCCATTTTCCAGTTCGCAGCATGTACGTGGAGGCATTGGCATTACAGCCATGGTACTCACTAAAGATCCAGTCTGGGTGCTGAGACTTAACATTGACATAAGACTTGGACATGAAAGGAAGAAGTGAATAACCACTGAGGTTGGCAGGGCTGGAGATAGATGCTATATCTGGGGTGGGGAAGACAGAAGATTGAATCGGTTTCTTTGTGATTTCAATTAATGGTTCAAGTTCTCTGGGCTGTTTTTCATACTTAGTATAGAAGGAAAGATGTCAACCAATGACACATGCTGGTCTACCAAAAGACCAGATTTAATGTCGGGCCCCATGAACAGAAGCGGAATGTGGACACTGCCCTCAAACATGGACATTTTGTAGAACTGCCGGTGATCCATGGCCAGCTCTCCATGATCAGCAGTAAAGATAACTATAGTGTTGTTGAGGACACCCATTTCTTTTAGAGATGCAATAATTTCTCCTAAGGTAAACAAAAAATATATTGATTATTGTATGCCAGTTTGTGGTTAACAGGAATTTAATATTACGAATCCTGACCAAGCATAGCATCTGTTTCAGCACACATGGCATAGTAGAAAGCACGAATGCTTCTTATTTCCTTCTTTGTAAAATTACTGCTGCAATTTTTGGTGACAGTAGAGTAATAATCAACTGGATGCATATCAGACAAAGAAAGCCATTTAGGTAGAGAGATCAGATCAGACGACACCTGTGGAAAAAAAACACGTCTCATTTCATAATAATTATGAAATTATAAGGAGTAAGAGACAAAAAACCAAACAAAAAAACCTTCTTTAACCAGAATGGTGATGTGCGGAAAGTAGAGCCTCCAGCTGTGGGCCCCAGGGATTCAGTTTTATAAGGGTGAGGTAGGTTAAGACCAAGATAAAGTGCAAAAGGTTGGCCAGAACAGCATCTCCTCATAATCCATTGTTTAGCCTTTCTAGTGTTCTGCCAGTCTGTTCTCTGTATTTCCACTGTTGACATGTTGCCAACTAGATCGATGACAGGACGGCCCTCTTGACTTAAAAGAAGCCCAGCATCTCGTGTCCAGGCCTCCACGCGATTGCTGTAAAAATTAACAAAGTATGAAAAAAAAATCAGACTACCCTCAATGTTACCCTTACCTCACAGAATGACTGCCAGATATGTAGTCCAGCTTCCCAATCATGTTGGTGGTATATCCACTTTCCTTCAAAAAATCCATCCAACTTGTAGAATTTGCCTCCAGACACTTAAAGTTGTTCCATGACTCAGTGCGATGTACAAACTGACCACTCCACATCGCTAGTAAAAAAGTAGAAAACCCCTCACAATCCTCTAATACAGCCATTCCCAAACTCAGTAACACCGAGGCCCCCTTAAAAATCTGCGGGTCTGCGTGGCCCCCCAAAATAATAACCAAGAAGACAACATTAAGAATAGGCTCTTCTGGTTATTTTATTTTGGGGAAATAGCCTCTGCTACAAACATTGTAATACAAAAATGATTACAGTGGATTATTCAAATCAAATAATGAACACAAATATTTTAATATTACAAACAAAACATTATAAATTTAACATTAAATAATTATATTATTTTTTTTATTTTTTTTATGACCTCCCGCGGCCCCCCTGCAGTACCCTCGCGGCCCACCAGGGGGCCGCGGACCCCACTTTGGGAGACACTGCTCTAATACTATATGATTGAATGAAGTGTTGCTGTATACCTGCTCTTGAAGGACAGCATATAGGAGAGTTAGTATACGCATTCAGGAAGGTTGTGCCAAGCTCCCGGAGGTAAGTGATGTATGGCAGTTTTACCACTTTGTTATGGACAGTCAATCTCCCATCCTGAAATGACAATGCAGCGACACAATGATCTTACCTTCCTATTAATTAGCAAATAATATAATTCATTAACATACTGGGAAGAGAGCACTCAGGGAGCACTTAGATGATTTTTAAATGATTTTTTAACAGCAAGTATTATTTAGAGGTGAAGATTTAGACTATAAGACTATAATTACATTTATAATCAATACTTACAAATGCGTCACTCATAACCATCACAATATTCGGCCTGCTATTTACATTATGACAAAAACTTAAGACATACGTCTGAAATAAAATCAACAAAAATGCAAAAGTCATCTTCGTATCACACTTGAGAAGCATATGCTTAGGCATTGCTTATGAAAGATCATACGGGTCCTCGTTATTCATGAATTCAGGCAAAAATCTATCATAAAGATGAAAGAGTTTGCTTAAAACTTTATAAATAATCATGGAAGTTACATGTCAACTTCCGGGTCACGTCACGTCAGTGTAAATGCACGGTCTCTACAGTAGAGGGCGCACTTCACCACAACATGCGCATTCAACAGGTGGAGACGGGAACGGCCATGAGGTGACGCTGTTGGTCGAGTTTTTTCTGTACAAACCACAGGCTACATTTGTACACCAATATTTTCAGTCTCTGTGCACAACATTAATTAGAAGTATGCATAAAACAGCAACAAGGAATCATATGAAGTATATAAATAAAGGCATTTAACAAGAAAATGATACAATTTCATTTCTTATCTAGTTCCTCAATGAATCTACTAGACAAAAACAATCTTGCAATTATAAAATTGAAATATAGGCCTATTTCCTGTGCTAGATGTTGTGCCATAAGCATTATAAGATCTACATAGATAGACACACTAAAAACTACACACTGTAGTGAGGCTTCAGAAAAGACTTTGACATTGGCGTGTATTAAGACGCGACAGTAGTATCGTTTTTTTTTTTTTATGAATAGTTGGGCTTATCATCGTTCTGTAGTCTTAAAGTATAGTTGTAGCATAGAGCGACCACAGCTCCTCAGCTCAGTCCTGAACATGAATCTGGTTCTGGACCATCTGGCTCAGAGCCATGGCTCTGCTGGTTACAGAAGGCGGAAGGAGGGGGCAGTGAAGGCTGCGCATGCGCAGAAGGTTGTTTTTCACTCGGGCAGTAGCTTAAAGTGCCTGAGCTCTAGGGGTTTCCTTGTCTTTGACTGGAGACCAAGCTAGAGACAGGCGTGTGATAACAGCACCAGTGCTGTTATTGAGCCTAACTTCAATGAACTACTCGCAAACAAACCACTGATCGTGCCTTTGCAGGGCAGAGATCAGTGTATCAATCTGCACCATCTTTTTATGAGATTCTTTTACACACTTTTTTACTTGTGCAGCTTTTTTCCTTTTCAACCATGGTGCTAGGAAAGGTAAAGAGCTTCACTGTAAGCTATGACTGTCTTAATGACAGTAATGTCCCCGTTTTTTCCAGCGGGGACAGTGTCTCAGGAAGAGTGATTATTGAAGTCACCGGAGAAATCCGTGTGAAATCACTCAAAATCAACGCAAAAGGATTTGCAAAAGTTCGTTGGACTGAATCAAGAAATGCTGGCTCCAACACTGCCTACACGCAGAACTACACAGAAGAAGTGGAATATCTAAATCATAAAGATATCTTAATTGGACACGAAAGAGGTAAGATTTCAGTTTTTGTAAAGGGCTTGTGCTGAGGCTCTCTTTGTGCTCGAATGTAGGCTACTGGAAGATGCTCACTAAATCCCCTTTAGTACACCTCAATCTTTAATAGGACCGGGTTTAAGATGAGCTGTTTGATTCCCGTCATCCATTTTAAAAGGATATACAGGAAAACGTCAAGTTTTCAGGCGTTGATCCATTGTGACTTGTTTACTATGTGTCAATGAATGACAGCTAAAGGCTCGTTTGATGCCATTAAGAGTGTTTTAGGTCTTCTGATGGGTTGAACATATACAGATTACAGAGCACTTTATATTCTCATTTAAAATGTTTGTCCACATAGCTCATTGCGTTTCTTTGTAGCGTTCTTTAAGTTTCCACCCATTGTTCAAAGCGGTTTAATCCTGTTCAGAAAACTGGACCAGATGCAGGCGGAGTTGGACGCAGGACCCTCCCTGCTCTGTGCGCTCATTGGCTCTAGTGCTCATGTGTGGACGGTGACATCACTCTTTTGCAGAGAGACTATTATCTGCAACTTTGTATGTGGAAAACATCTGCAACAAAACGGCATCAGATGCCACTATCACCCTGCATCTATGTGTCACTCTTGTGGACCTCCACTTTGGAGAAAACGGGTTCACCCGGCTCAGTTTTACATGACGGTTTAATGAATTATATCGCTAAAGGCTACATTTCCCTTCATTCTAATCTCACTATGTGGCAATTGCATGTGTTGGATGAATGAATGCTTCTAATTATATGATGTTTTGCAACCCTGTTAAAACATCAAGTGTACTCGATCGCCATAACTAAAGCAACTATATTCGTCGTTGTAAAAGGATAGAATAGTGGTATTGGTGGCTGCAGTGAGGCTGCGCAGAATGAATGCGTAATGAGCTGCTCGCGCCGGTTCAGGCCGGTCTCCTCCTGCTGGAGTCTGCCTTTGAGTGACAGCTCTGCACTTGTTTACCACTCTGCTCTACTGTGCTGAGGCGACAAAACACACCCTGTAGCTATGTTTCATTTTACTCCTGAACCCAATTTAAACCGGTGATACAACAATTACGTCTTCTCAATGATTTTTAAAACGGTCAAACGGTCTTATCCCTTTTTGAACATTTATCCTCTTATACCCCCTGGAAGACTAGTGTGCAGTTGAAAATATTAAATAATGCAAGCCCACAACGCTAAGGATCTCTACAATAAATTACATGTTATAAAAATATATCTTAGTAAATTATATTCTCTTTTTTTCTTCCCCCACCCTGTGTCTTTGATATGGTTTTCAGAGGTCTTCGTAGATCATTGTGTCCAGGTATGGTATACCAGTGTTTGGAATATTGTCCTACTTCTGTTTCAGATGATGACAATTCTGAAGAAGGCCTCACCACTATCCCCTCGGGAAGACACGAGTATGCATTCAGCTTGGATCTTCCACAGACGTAAATGGCTACTAAATAAATGATTTTTTTGTTGCCTGTAATGTTTGTTGGATACCATTGTTGTGTGCTCTTTCTGCAGACCCCTGGCTACCTCCTTTGAAGGAAAGCATGGCAGTGTGCGGTACTGGGTAAAAGCAGAACTCCACAGGCCATGGCTCCTGCCCATGAAGACCAAGAAGGAATTTACAGTTTTTGAGCACATAGACATCAACACTCCTTTACTGCTGGTAAATGTCTCTTTACTAAAGTCACAGGTACTTGTTGCCTTTAGCCAAAGATCAAGACCTAATCTATCTTGTTTTTCAGTCACCACAGGCAGGAACAAAAGACAAGACTCTTTGCTGTTGGTTCTGCACCTCAGGTCCTATTTCCCTAAGTGCCAAAATAGAAAGGAAAGGTTATACCCCAGGTAAATAATTTTTTAAACATTGTTTTCATAATTGTAAAATATTGTACTGTTACTCACACGCATTTTTCTAATGTCTAGGAGAGTCAATCCAGATTTTTGCTGAGATCGAGAACTGCTCCTCACGTATGGTCGTGCCCAAAGCAGCCATCTACCAGGCCCAAACCTTTTATGCCAAAGGAAAGATGAAAGAGGTCAAACAGCTGGTGGCTAACCTGCGTGGCGAGTCCCTTTCTTCTGGAAAAACTGAAACGTGGAACGGCAAGATGCTGAAGATTCCACCTGTCTCTCCTTCCATCCTGGATTGCAGCATTATTAGAGTGGAGTACTCTCTGATGGCAAGTCATGTTTTCTCACTAGGCATACATAGAATAACACTAAACGTTATTGGCTTATGCAGAATACTTTGTTAACGATAAGTTAAAGATGTAATGGTGTTACTGGAGCTGATAATGACTTTATCAGAGCCGGGCCGCCTAGTTGAAACGGGTGTTCTGCTGTTAAGAGCATTAGCCCAGAATATCAGTGCTAACACCTGCCTAGTGTGCTTATAACCCCCTACAAACTGTCAGCCATCGCACTAGAGCATGGCCTTGCATAATCAACCTGACCTACTTTAAGAGTGGCACCATACCTGCCCTTTTTGAGTTTGATATTAATAGTCCATCTCTGTTTAGGTGTATGTGGACATACCTGGTGCGATAAACCTGTCTCTCAACCTGCCTCTTGTGATTGGAACCATCCCTCTCCACCCGTTTGGCTCTCGCACCTCCAGTGTGAGCAGCCAGTGCAGCATGAGTTGGTTGGGTATGGGACTGCCTGAGAGGCCTGAAGGTAGGTTGGTTTTTGCTGTGACAGTTTCAAGTGTACTCAAAGAATTTGTAAGCCTTATATTTATTGTTTTGCTTCTGTTCAGCCCCGCCTAGCTATGCTGAAATTGTAACTGAAGAACAGAGGCGGGATGTTTCAACGGCTCGCGAGGAGCTGGAGGGTCATCTGTTTGCCTACATTCACGAGTTCCGCTTTCAACCACCTCCACTTTACTCTGAGGTAGGTACAATGTGACATTATAATGTCTGTAAGTTAAGTTTGTCATGATTAAAATGTAATCTTCCTCATCTTTGTCTGATTTAGATTGATCCAAATCCCGATCGATCCAGTTGCACTGAGGAGCGCAGACTGGATAGCTGTCCATCACGTTGAGTTTGTACTGATTTTTCCCTTTTGGATTTGAGGGACTTAAAAACCTGTGCACAAAGCTGTGCTTTGTAAAGTCCTTTGTGGCAGCAATCAACTGGCCTCCAGAGACGTGTTCACTGACCAATGCAGGATGGACTTATGAACAGTTTGCTGAATGGACAAACTTATTCCTCCCTTTCATTTAAAAGTGGAAGAGGCGTATGTTTGGGGTACGAGGAGTCAAACTGACGAAAGTGGAACTCTGTGTAGTAGCCCCATGGGCAGCACGAGCCACAGTGGTGGAAGAAGAGGTCCCATAGGGCTCAAGTCTGCCAAGCTTTTCCCCTATAACTGTTGGCACATAACTCCAAAGACAATGGAGTCTACTACCACACTCTGAATTAAAGGTTTCAGTGACTGTGGTCGACACAGAGATAAGCGTCCTGCCTTCTACAGGATTTTGTTTTGCACATTTTATTTTTGAGTTGTTTAAGGACAATGAAAATCACTATCAGTTTGGTTTCAGCATTGTGATGCACCAGACTGCAAGTTTAAGTCTTTGTTTTAGTTTTTTTGCATCATTTTGATCACAAGAGAAGGAGAGACTGAGATAAAAGACTGAACAATGCACTGATTTTGTTTTAGGTGTTAACATATTACAGCGATTCTAAACATTGCATTGCAATAGACTCTTAGATGTTTCTCCATTTACGTTCCTTGTATTTTATGGCAGATGTTACCAAGATATGCCATTGTTTTAGTTTGACTTATTTGCTTATACATTGTGTTAAGAAGGTTTCTGCATTGTATTTTTTTACTGTGCAATTTGCAATGATGGGTGGTAAATTGAAGATGCACTACCTTGATGCAAAAAACCTCAATCACACAAGGAACACGTCCATTATGTTTACCCTAATCATTCTTTGCCAAATTTTTACACAATAAATAGAAACATGTCTCTAATTTTAAATTGCACTGTTCATGATCGCTAAATTAGATCTGCAGAAAAGATTGGCAGCTGTTAAAAAAAAAAAAACAGAAAAAAGATCACATTCCCTTTTTGTCCTGCTGCACTTGCTGCCCTCATCCACACCGGGGTCTTCTAGCCACTAGCGGACCACCGCCAGAATTCTTGCTTCATAGAAAGATCTCGTCCAATAAAACTTTGGCAATGCTAAATGTCTAGTCAGACTGGTCAGAACAAGTAGTTGTTTTTAGTAGTCTAGTAGGTTGAAATGAGAAATACATTGGTTTTAAAACTCATTCAACACAAGACCAGCTGAATCAGACAGAGCAAAATGAGAAGTAGCACTTTTTTTCTATACAAGTGAAATAAGTAGGCAATTACTGGTGATGTGGACTACAATAAAATCATGTTTTAGTAACGCTAGAATTCCTCAGTCCTTCAGTGTACATGTCCTGTTGGAGTTTACATGTAGTGTTGTATGTGTGCGCATGCTTCTGGTCCTGCAGTGCATACTATCTCTGTGGCCTTCATACAGAACAGACCTTTTGATTCCCCCCTCTAAATTTAGAATCCGTTTCAACTCTTAGTTTAATTTTTTGTATGCCTTTTTAGTTATAGTCTTTCCATGTTAATATTTATAAGGACAAAAAGGGAAAATGGCAAATGCTCCTTGAAAACGTGTTTGGAGATAAACATTGACTGCTGTCTCTTGATGACCTGTTTTCCATGTAATGTGTGGGCATTTTCTTAGTTTTCTTTCAAGATTAGCGACATTACTGACCTTTGTGACCATCCTCAGGTCGAGGGGGTGGCAGCTGTTGACCAGCACCTTCCCCCGCTGAGTAACAATTAGGTAACACAAATATAATTATAAACTGCTCTTTCTCTATTAGAAATGTTGTGTTTTTGCTGAGTTTTAACTCAAATCTTAATCAAGCTACTCTAAAATAAGCTTATCGTTCAGGTTGCAGTTCCATTGTTCGTTTGAGTTGTTCTGTGTCAAAACTAAGCTATACTCCTGACGTGTACGCGGCAGGAACTAAAATGTTCAGAGCAAAAGAACGTGGAGGGTATCTGACACGTTTTAGGGGAAAAGTGCAATATCATGCCTATTTTCTTTTTTCTTCAGCCTCCATTTGTATTAATGTTTTTTATTGTTTTGATCTGTTAACCATGATGATGTTAAGAGATTCTAATCTATACTTCTGAATGATTAAACCGGTGTCTCGTTCTTCCTTCTTGATTTTAATAAACATTTTGTTTGAAACTTGTCTTTTTTAGAATATGTTTGGTTAATAAAATTCTAGTAGGGCTGTAATTAAGGATTATCTCTGATAATTGATTAGATGACCAATTATTAACTGATAAGTTTAGATCACAAAAGGACTGTAAATATGAGATATTATTAATGGATTTGACAAAAACAAAGCTAAAATAACATGAGACTTGAGAACAACATTTTATAGACTGATAAATTGGTTGTTTGTATATGTTTGCACGTTTTCATTTTTTCTGCAGTAAATACAGCTCTGCTGGGTGTCATGAAACCTCATCTCAGCATTCTTAAACCATGCTAATCCTAACCATGCTTTGAGGGGATGAGTAAAAATGTTTTCACCCTAAAATCTTGGCCTTTTATTGTAGGACAGTGTGTACATAATGACACTCTGGAGTTGGAAGCTTTACCAAATTATGACTTTGCAGACTAGCTATCATAATTTAGATTGATAACCTCAGTCAAGTTGAAAATGTATTAGTGAAACTGCACTTTGATTTCAGCTTTACATCAGAGTTTAGTTTAGTAAAATACAGAACGAGCATTATAATCTAAGAAAAGGCTGCATGTCGGATGAGAGTGGATGGAACGTGCTGGCTCAGGCCAGCTAAAACACACGTTCTTATGAAAGCAGTGAAGATTGTGTAACTGGGCCCGAACTGTGGAGACACGTGGAGCAGCGGTGAGAAGAGCAGAGACAAATGGATAACAAAGATAACAGTACAGCTCATCTGTTCACAGAGCATTGCTCTGAAAGGGACAGCTTCAGTGATGATTCAGCAGCAGTTTGACTCTGCACTTGGCTTGGCTTTTGTTCGGCCTCTGCAGCTCCTCTTTGACTTCATGGCCTTTGTGGGAGTCTGACCCCTCTACGATCATAAAAGAAGGAGGGGATTATTATTGGGCAGGCATGCATTCATGTATGCATGTTCACACAGTACTGATTAGTAAGTGCTGACGCTTCACAGGCCTCAGCTGTTTCCTCTCACTGGATAATCCTGGTACCAGAAGCAGCCAGTGGTCCAGGAGGTCTCAGCAGCACAGTGACTGTGCAGGTTTCACAGATGGCAGTAGGCCAGGAACATTCAATTGCCTTTCTGTAGCTTCTACACTGTTCAGAGCGCCGCTTCTGTAAGAGAACAGAATATCCAGACTGGTCCTCTCTCTTTGTTGGGAAAATAATTAACAAAAGTGTAAGCTACTAGTCCTTACTCAACAGTCCGCACAGTCTCATTTTGGTCAAACATTTATTCCATTATACTTGAAATACCTCTGAATAGCTGCTTCAGTTCTGCATGACAAGGCTGAGGCCGTGACCTTGCCAAGAACAACTTGTTTACTTTCATGTACAGTGGACAGCTGAAGAAGAGAATAACAACTGCATAAGCTTCACTAAACTAAATTTACCCATTCACATCTTGTCAGTAAATTGGGCTCTTTATACCAAAGTGATGGGACATTGTGCACCAAACTTGTACACAACATGGTAAGCAGAATTACTAAGCCATTTCATTTGTCTAAGTTTTTGTTAAGTGCATGGCTCCAACGGAAGAGGACACTCTTTGTTTGATGTTTTTCTGATGTCTGCCTACATCTTTGTGTCTTATAAGCCCATACAGGCTGGGCATCTTTAGGTGCAAGACACCAAATAAGAAATAAAGTAAACTAAACTAAACTAATTATCTGCTCAGTCATTTCACTTAGTGTAGGCTACAGCCTGTTTTCCTGGATCTCTTTATAGTACAGAAATGCCATGTGCTATTTGGAAACCTCCAAACTATCCAGCTCAAAATCTGATAAACTTGGCAGAGGCATGCATTCAATTTTGTAAGATGAAACTTGATGGGCCAAAGTCCTTGAACCCTAGTGCAGATGGAGGGGTAGATATAAGCTACAGAGGCCTGTCCTTTTTTTAGCTCCTCAGTGCCCTCTGGAAGTCACACACTTTCCTTTTTTAGCCCAGGCTGACTCATAACACGGGCCTGTCCCGGCTCAGATTCTCCTGAGTCACAAACCTACTCCGACCCTGTCCCATGTGTGGATCTCACTGCCCTCTGAGTGTCTTCTACTCCTGAAAAACAACAGGTGCAGTGTCTACAGGCTGCAGTCAGCGTCTGTCCTTCTGCAATGTTATTCCACACTTCTGCAGCCAACCATCCAATCCAACTATGCTTTCTAATCTATTCATACACCCTGTTATATACACAGTTGCCTTACACATAAATCTATACGTACGCAAAAACAAGGTTTTAAAAGAAGTTCTTATTGACACAACCTGCATTATTAGGTCACCGATTGTGTCATCCCCGAAAGTGGCCAATCTGGACATATGAGCACAAGTTACCACCAACCACAGGAAATGTATCTTTAGCCCACAAAAAGGTGCACTGCACAGGGTAATTACTGTTGCTCGAGAAAACTCAAATGACCTTGTTTACTGTTCAAGCCTACAGTACAATTGCAACAATGTTATCATTTTCTGGCACAGTAGCTAGATTCTCATGAGATTTGGGAAGAGACTGGGATGTAGTGAGTGACAAATATGTCTCAGTATACAATGGCCTTTAGACATGATGACATTGCTGCAAATAAAGATATATTAAATTGATTCATTCTTCTCAAATGTAATATAAAATAGGTTTTGGTGACACCATAAGAGAAATCTCCTGAAAAGTCAGTATTCAGTATTCAAATACGGAATATTTAGTGCTTTTTAGGACAGACTCGAGTTATGAGTCAATGTAAGGATCCAAAGCAATGGTAAAATCTTCCTGACTCAGTTCTTGGCAGCACATTCTCCTTCAGACCAAAATCTTTCAAGTACATTTACATTTTAGATGTTTCCACACATCACCTGAGGGCCTCAGTAAAACACATGGACAAGAATAAGAAGACAATGTAAGCATGAATAAATACAAAAACAGATAAGTTAGTTAGCGTTCAAAAACGCTTCATCTCCTTTAAATACAATCAATATCATTGTATTTGCTTTCATCATAATGTGTTCCATCTTAATGCAGAAGAGCACTATGATCTGAACAAAATGGAAGTTGTTCGTAAAGTAAGTCATGTTTATTTATATAGCACCTTTCACAGACCAGAGTCACAATCTTAATATTTACGCTTTCACAAAACATCTGTTTTTAGTGTTTCCGTCAGATGTTTGCGAACCTTAAAGCTCTCCTTGGCTCTCCTATCTCCCCGCACATCCCCTCACGGCCTCTTCATAACTCTACAATAGTCCACATTGTTCTTTTGTCATGTGCTGACGCTGAAGCACTGGATGGAACCAGCGGGTTCCGGCCCACACAGAGGATGCAGTGTGAAGGATGAGTAACTTCCTCTGAGTTACTATCACTGCTGCAAACATCTTTAGACGTCACATCAACATAATAAAATGTTCCCTTGGACAGGACGAGACTGGTTATACAATCTTTATTAGGATGATAATGTTCAATTCATCCATCCATTTTCTTCCGCTTCATCCGTTGCCGGGTCGCAGAGGCAGCAGTCTTTGTAGAGACGCCCAGACTTCCCTATCCACACACACTTCCTCCAGCTCGTTTAGATCATTTATAGTGGTTTGAAACGCATTTCAGGGTTTCCATTACAGTACATTACTATTGCCTCAGACTTCTTTGAACAAAACATTATGTGGAGATATATTGGTTATATTTCCTAGATTTGAACATTTGGTATAAGTCTATTCTGTGGAAAGATGTAGGTGAAGGTAATTACCCTAGCAACTACAAAGAAACAAGGTTCACAACACTTACTGAGCTAATTACAGAAAAACACCACTCAGCTGTAGCTTATGCAGTCACCCTCCTCCTCCCCATCACCTCATCAACAGTGAAACCATCTCCATACTTTAGAACCCAATGAGATTTAGTCATAATCTTTATTTAATTCCGTCCTGTATATGTCATGCAATATTTCTGTCTGGGTCTAAGCCTCAAAACCATGCCATATTTCATACACATACATGTCTATAAACATGTAATTAATCCTCTTGTCTGAATTTCCAGTTTGTAAAATAATTATACAGTAAATATTTACTGTCCCCTCTTCATGAGAACAATAATCAGTCACATACACTATAAAAAGACAAAACCCTCCTGTATTGTGAGGAACTCCACAGGGTGTTTTCTGTCCAAATGTGGGTATGCGTGTACTCCGTGCAGTGAGTGTGGGCGTGGTCAGTTCTAACACAATGACATAATGTTGTCATAATCCTGAGGGGAAAAGGATGAAATTAGGTCTTCTTATGTTTCAGCCGACACCCTGTCCATTAGTTACAGAGACTGCAGCTACCACAATAATCTCAGACGCCACAGGAAGAATTTGAAACGCATGACATTTGTGTGAATTTTATCTTCGAAAAGTGATATCACATTTTCACACACAAAAAGACTATCAAATGAGATGCTCCCAGTTAGGATGTATGTCTAACTTGTAAACTGACCGGGCATAGCGTGCTTCTTAAACTAAAGGCTGTGTCCAAACCATGCACAATGAAGATCATATTTTGAATGATTGCATAAAGCATGACGTAGGTCTGACTGAGCCAGGGTTGGTAAAGTAAGCTGTCGTCATAGTCCTACTTTAAAGATGTAATAAATTACACTACTTATTTCTGAATTTTTTGAATTACTTTTGATGTCATTTTATCTAAATTAATTGTGCCTTGCTATTTTTCTAAAGATGTTTTAATAGTTGTCTTGTGGTGGAGAAATAATAATCCACAAATAATTGTAATCTACTTCAGTACAGTTAGTATAAGCAAAGTAATGTGATATACTTCTTATTAATGTGATACACTATGAGTGTTTTGTATATATTTGTAACGGGATTCCACATTGTTTGTGAACATTTATCTTTATGTTGGAGAAGTTTTTCTAGTTTTGGATTCAAACTGTAAGAAGAGGCCCAACTAAAGCAAAAGCACACTTAATATGAGAACTAAAGCTACTAACAATTCAACTAGCGAGGTCGCTGCAAAACACACTAAAAAGATGCAGTCTGCATCTGTCAGTCAAACACAATTAGACACTTATTTCTCTGCAAGACCTTTGCTCTTACATATTTAAAAAGCTGCTGTGACGTATATTTCTCTGACATCAGTGGTTTTCTGTCAGAGACAATCAGTAATGTAACATCTGCTTCATCAAACTAGTCACTAGTGTGAAGGAGAGATCTGAGTGCACTGTCATCTCTCAGGGTGGTTCCTCGCAGATGGCTCTGATGTGAAAGTGTGGGAGAGTGAATTATCTGTAGGCTTTAAGTCTGTGCCCTTATCTCTCTCCATGGGCACTGGGCACAGGGAGGAGCCAGTGTGAGCTGAGCGAGCCCAAAGAGGCTTTAGGTCACTAAAGCCTCTTTGGGCTCGCTCAGCCTCAATAAAAGGTTGCATGAGCTGTATCACAAACAAACCATATCGTAGTCTATCATTGTGTTTCCAAATAACCTTAAACTCATCATAAGAGATAAAAAGTTATATATCAATGCACAAAAAGCATGACAGAAAACATGTCATTGTCTGTGTCCTGATTTATAATATTCATAGCTATGAAACTCTAAATATATCGTGAAAAAAAGAACTAAAAGGTAGTCTTGTAAATGTTTATGAAACAGTGCAGTAGAGTTTGACAGGAGTCAGTCTGCTGTTTCAGTGACATGTTGGGAGCTGGTCAAAGGTTGGGTGAAAGGGTCAAGTCGACTGAAGACTGCTGACAAATTAAAACAAAAAGAAGATAGTGTGTGTTCATAACAATAATAATAGTAAACTGATTAAGATCAGTCAGATAAATGTTTAATACCTTGCAGTTGATTATTTAGGCTTCAACTTTGGATTCTCAGACAGTATGAAACACCAGCGAAAATGTGGACGTCACACAAAGGCATCCTTCATCTTCAACTTTTGACCTGTCTGTTACACAAGCAACAATAAACGCTCGACCCCTTTCATATGCAAAGGACTGACTAAGCAGAACACAGTGAATTATTTATTAACAATGTTACACAACTTTAATATAAATCACTTTATCTTCTAGATTCAATTAAACTAAATATACAAAACTTGAAAAAAATATTGTTCAACTATACATCTTTTTCAAATGACTATAAAAATTCCTATTGAAAAAACATGTACAAAATGTTTAGTGCAAATGTAATTTACAAGTACAAAAATAAAATACAGTTTTTCTCATGGAGGCGCACAGTGAGGTGAACAGGTTACAGATGTGTGTCCGCGATAGGAATTCTCCTTAACTCCACAATCTGAGAGTTGGAGACACTTCCTCCATCGTGACTTCCGGGGATGGATTCATTGTCGCTAACGTTGAGGCCACTCCCTAAAAGAAAACTAAAATGAATATACATATATATATATTATAGATAATTACAGACCTGCATTTGTAGACAACAAACATGTTGAAAGTGATGCCTGTGAACTGCTGTGGTACAGAGCCTCGGGTAGGATCTCTCACGCCAAACAGCCTCTAGTTAGATCAGATCAAAGCTCCTGAAGAATCTTTAACAAGGGCCATGACATACTGTGGTAGCACCCAGCGATCCAAGATGGCGCCGTATTCAAATAAATGGTTTGTGCTCAGTGGCGCATGAGCCAGCACGGTCGCTGACATATCAGCGGAACTCATCTATATTTGGGCATCGTCTGGTCCTCCCAGTTCTGCACAGTGGAAGAGCTCCCATGATGCGTTGCGCTCTGAACATTCAGAGCTGCTGATTATTATTGTTATTATTATTATTATTATTATTATTATGTGTTTACTTTAATAGGGACAGAACAAGAAGCATTGTTACAGGAACCGATGCTGTGTTCATAGGTTGTATACATGTAGCTAACAGCTAGTTTGCAGACCTGGTCCCTAAGACATAGAAATACTTCACATTTACATTATATGATCAGAGTGGAGCTAGAGCGGGAGTTAGAGCGAGAGCCAAACGAGCAGAGTTTGTGGCACTAAAGTGTGGATTTAAAGAAAAAAGTTCAGGATGACAAGGGACACTAAAATCCCCACAAAATCCGATCTTTATGAAAGCTGTATGTTCTCTGTCAGCTGAGGTCGAGCTGTTTTAGTTTACATTGAGTTCCATGGGGAAAATGTCAGGGTAGCCCACGTGAATTTAGTCTGGTTTAGTCTGTAGTACCGCGAGAATCCCCCGAGCACATGGGTCCTTCAGCTCCAAGCTAGTAATATCCTATCCAGTTATTATAATAGATCCATGGGTAGCACAGGTACAGCTCCACTCGGCCTGGAGCTTGGATGTGAGTGACTGTGACCTCACAGTCACCCACAGAACGTTTCAAGGCGACAGATGCATAAAGGCTCACAAGAGAAGGAACCTGAGCTTTTGCAGAAAGTATCAGCTTTAGGAAGTCACAGAAACTTAAAGCTGGGGTACCTCACTTCTGAACCACAAACATTGAACTACATAATATAATCCATTTAAGTACTAGATTCTAACTCTCCAAACAGTTTGGTTTTATAAATAGTTTGCATGCATGTATTTTTTGGTCTTTGTCAAACATTTTCGGACTAAAAAGATCATCTCAAAGAGTTACTCGCAGGGCTCACTCCTACAATAAGTAAAAGATGAAGACAGCATGTGGTGGTGTAAGTTTTTCAAACATGTTTTGTTTTTACTAAAACAATGTGTTATTTATGGTAATTATCTTGAAAACCTAAATTTAAGATACTAGGAGCAGTTTTTTGTCCATAACTTACATCAGGTGCTGGAGGGTTCAGTAATCCAAGGCCTTGGTGTCGCTGCCTCAAATGAAATAGTTAAGAATGTACAGATTTTGTTCATGAGAGAGATGGAGTATGACTAATGTACCGTCTCTGGCCCCAGAAAGTGGAAAAAAGATTAGCGCCACTGCATTTGGTGAATAGTGCATGGATTATGCAAGCGGCTACAACCCGTGTTTCATAATGTATAGATTATGCGGGAGGAGCAGACTGTACCCTGTCTGATTAGCTGAGGTATCAAGCTGCAGATGGGTAGTTTGACGTCAGAGGAAAATTGATAAGGCTTTAAAGCCAACCAAAGTAAATATTGTTCTTTTGCTCCTGCATTAGCACCGAAGGGGGACAGAGACTGTTATGAATTTTACTTTTTAGATGAAAGGCATTGGTAGCAAAACAAAACAGTATTTTCCACCTAGATCGAAGCTTGGTTTGTGCTCTGGGTAAAGTCCTCGGTAAACTAGTTACAGTCTAAATATTTGCCTGTAAAGATAAAGAGATTTTAAAGTATTTGAAGTTAATGACTCGAGCTGGGCCAATCATAGAATTCTCTTGGCCAGAAAAGATGGTTGCCAAAAGGTGGAAGCCTCGTCACTCGCTGTCTCGCCTGCAGTGGGCGATAACATTAGTGGTAATCGTGTACTTGAAACCGTCTACAACGGGGGGGGGGGGGGGGGGGGGGTTGTTTTGTTTTGGTTTTGGTTGTGGTTTTGGTTTTTTGTTCCTAAAAAATGAATGAAAAAATGTGACAAAACTGGGCATTATGTATTTTGAAGTACTGTATATTGCTACAGATAACTATCATCTCAATTCAACTCAACCTTATTACAGACTCTAGGTCAACTGCTACTGTGTGTAACTATCCTATGTGTGTAACCCTGTGTGTAACCCCTGTGTGTAACCCTGTGTGTAACCCCCGCGCAGACACCACAATGGTCCAAGTGTATAGAGTCCCATTGTTATTATTTACAGACTGTGATGTGCTCCTGGATTACGTAAGTGATTAGAGAATGGCCATGACTGCACACAAGTTTAAGACGTACACAAAATGGAGTGTGTTATTTCAACGCTTACGCAAAAACCCAGAAAAATTAGCAGAAAACTATATATATATATCAATATTTCTGGATAATCGGTCCATCCCTAAGTAAAGCAGTAATTAACCAATTAACCAATCTTCAGTTAAGAAAATTGATGAATGTCCATCTCCTGTCCTAAGACCCTCTCTTTTTGGAAAGAAAAAAAAAACAAAAAACCCAGTGGAACAAAGAGAGAAACCCAGGAGAGAAACACGATGAGATACATTCCCATGGACAAACAGGATATACTGTAGATTCAGGAATGAGTTCAAAATGTTATATTAAAAGTTGTTGGTGTAATACATGTTGTTTTTAATTCTGACTTGATGTTCAGAACGCAGCTTCAAGCCCACTTTGTTTACAAGAGAAGGCAGCAGAGTTGTGAGGCCGCCTTGTGCCGCCCCTCACAGACAGGACAAGGACAATGGTGGGACGATAGAGCTGCTGTACTTTACAATCCACTTGGTGCAACTCGATCCACGGCCTAATCCACTTTTATTAACAGCACTCAGCTGAATACGCACCTGCCCACCAACTTTTCATTTGACTGTCCCCATGGTGACAATGTTGTTGTTTCTTTGTAATACACGCAAACAGGCACATAGCACAATGAGGGCTTAAAACAAGTTGCCATTTCTTATTCAAATTCACTAGAAAAACATACAGTGCCTTGCGAAAGTATTCGGCCCACTTGAACCTTTCAACATTTCGCCACATTTCAGGCTTCAAACATAAAGATATAAAAAATTTCTTTTTTGTCAAGAATCAACAACAAGTGGGCAACAATCGGGAAGTGGAACGAAATGTATTGAATTATTTAAGCTTTTTTAACAAATAAAAAACGGAAAAGTGGGGCGTGCAATATTATTCGGCCCCCTTGCGCTAATACTTTGTAGCGCCACCTTTTGCTGCAATTACGGCTGCAAGTCGCTTGGGGTATGTCTATCAGTTTTGCACATCAAGAGACTGGAATTCTTGCCCATTCTTCCTTGCAAAACAGCTCGAGCTCAGTGAGGTTGGATGGAGAGCGTTTGTGAACAGCAGTCTTCCGCTCTTTCCACAGATTCTCGATTGGATTCAGGTCTGGACTTTGACTTGGCCATTCTAACACCTGGATACGTCTATTTGTGAACCATTCCATTGTAGATTTGGCTTTATATTTTGGATCGTTGTCCTGTTGGAAGATAAATCTCCGTCCCAGTCTCAGGTCTTTTGCAGACTCCAACAGGTTTTCTTCCAGAATGGTCATGGAGCTTTCGCGAAAGTTCACTGTGGTAGACCCGGCTGCTGCTTGCCCAGATCTACAGGCTGCTCTTCCTCGGCTCATCAGACCAGCAACGCCCACATGCAGCCAACCAATAACCACCAGGACAGCAAGTTAAAAGCCGGAGACTCCCACTTCCCGGCCTTCTGAAGTCTGCAAGGTGCATGTCGCTAACGCACCTGTTCGCAAATGCATGCGTTGTTTTGGAGGGGTCGCTTCTGCTCACGTGTTGCTCGTGCGCGTGACCCGGCTGTTCTCAGTCTGGCTGCTTGTGATCTGCTCCTCCTCCGCGTCCCTGCACCTACTGTGTCTCCGCCGCTCTCCTCCTCTGCGGGCTCTTTCTGCGGGCTGCTCCGCGGGGCCCCTCCGCGGGCTCTATGCTGCTCGTCTCCTCTGGTCTGCTGCTGTGTGCAGACGGTCTGGCGGTGCCGCGTTGTCCCGTTGCTTTCCCACGTCTTCTGGCATATGCGGTGGTGAGTTGCTGATCTGCGGACGGATTATTCCCTGCGCACTGGACTGCAGGCGCCAGTTTTCACCCCGTGCTTGGTCTGCAGGCTCCGTTTTCACATGTGTTCGAGCTAACTGAGGGACAATGCATATTAAATGGCAATACTCTTTATCGTCCGAGGGATATAAGAGGAGCAATGTGCATTAATTCAGATTCATGTTCTGCCACTTGCAGTAAAACCACGTTGGAAGAATTGCAAGACTGCCCCAGAGTGCTCCAGACGGCACACACCAGAGCTCTTGCCACGGCGCCATCTTACAGCATTAATCTATTACTCGCAGGTCACTACTGTTAAATGAAATGTATTTAAATTAGTTTATCTGAGGGATAATGGAGGGGCCATGCATTTAAATAGCTAGGTCACTAGGTAACTAAACTGCAGTTGTTGCATTTTGAAAGTGCAGCAGAAAGAAAAAGGGCCCAATGTGAATCTGCAATGAGTGTGAAGTGGAGTTGGAGCTAATGAACGTGTGGAAAAGTGATTGTTCATGCGTATCTGCCATAACCAAAGCTGCAAGATGGCTCCAGGAGACACCTGTTATTCGCATGGGAATGTTTTGGATTCAGGTTAATTTATTTCCTGAGGCTCTTAAACAACCATGGGCACGGTTCTGACCGCCGCTGCTGCCAGTCTCCTACTGATGCCTGTTCCCGCTGATGCCTGTTCCCGCTGATGCCTGTTCCCGCTGATGCCTGTTCCCGCTGATGCCTGATCCCGCTGATGCCTGTTCCTGCTGCTGCCTGTTCCTGCTGCCGCTCCTGCTGCTGCCTGTTCCTGCTGCCTGCTCCTGCTGCTCCTACTACTACATGTGCTGCTGCTGCTGTTCCTGCCGCTGCCGCTCCGCGGGCTCCCAGGCTGCACCTGTCTCTACGGCTCGGCTCTTTCAGACACGTATGTAACCTGGTTCACGGAGACAAGCGGCGCACGCTGGCGTGACATGTCTGTTTGTTCGTATGAATCGCATTGTCGTGCTGCTTCTGCTGCTTCATACTGCTACCGCTACTGCTGCTACTGCTGCTGCTGCTGCTTCTGCTGCTTCATTTACTTTGACATCTCTCTTCACTTTAAATCTCTTTTACTGAAACACTAAACAGCTACAACAATATTCTACTGCTGTGGCCTTGATACAGGATTATTGCTGTTATTATCTAAGGATGCTGCAACTGCTGCTGCTGCTGCTGCTACTGCTGCAACTACTGCTGCAACTACTGCTGCTGCTACTGCTTCATTTACTTTGACGTCTCTTCACTTTACATCTCTTTTTACTGAAACACTAAACAGCTACAACTGTTATTGTCTAAGGATACTGCTGCTGCTTCATGCTGCCGCTGCTGCTGCTACTGCTACTGCTGCAACCCACTCTCTCAGAAGCTTATCCTGCTTCTAATGGATGCAGCCCGGCTGAGTATGCCGCGCTGCGCAGGACTCGCACCTATGCTCTCAGGGTCGCTTCGGCGGTTATGCTTCATCTCTACTTAATCTACTTAATCTTCTGATTCTATCAGATGCAGCTGGCCGAGTAGCTGCGCTGAGCTGTCAATCAAACTCCTAATCAAAGGCATCCATACCTGTATTCTTCACTCTTCTGATTGCAGGCTCCCCATCATGCTGCCCATCCTGCAGCGGCTCTGAGCGGCACTGAATTCCGGCTCATCTTCCAAGTACATGTCTGCCCTCCTCGCAGCATCTTCCTGCTCGCCTTCTGTGGCTTCTCTGCATAAGCGTTCACTACTGCTCGCTCAACCTTCAATGCGGTCCGAGACACGGCTTTTCCCGACCTATCCTACTGTCCTGATTATCTAATCTCCAACCCAAGATTCTAAGCGTAAGGGCGCCTGCAACATCAATGGCCCTCTCCGGTATGTCTCTCTGCCCCTACAGGTCTCCGCTTCTACACGGACGCTGCCCCTTCCGTGGGTTTTGGGGGGTTCTTCCAGGACCAGTGGTTCGCCGGGCCGTGGCCCGCTACTTTTTCCCGGAGCATTTCCTCTGCCCTACACGAGGCATTCCCAGTGGTCGTGGCCTGCGCGCGTGGAATCACACGTGGCATCTCTGTCATGCGTGATAATCTCGACGTAGTGGAAGCATTAAACAAAGGTCGCTCTTCTCACCCAACATAATGTCCCCTGACCATTTCAACCTTCATCTCAAACATTTAAAGATCAAAGGCGCCTGCAACACAATAATAGCTCGCTCCGACACATCTCTCTGCCCCTACAGGTTCATGATGCGTTACACTCGCCTCCGCCGCAAAAAAAGATTTTAACGGACCTCTAATTCCCGCTCCAGACAACCTTCCCATAACAGCAACCTGGTTCAGAGCTCAGCTAAGATCCCTACTGCTCCTCTGCAATTTGTCTCCCCAGCTCTATACAGCCCACTCCTTCAGGATAGGCGCTTGGCCTATTAAACTGTTCATTGCTATTCACAAATAAACACTTGACCTTATTGAGACTAGTGCTGTTGTGATTTTGGGGCATACAAAATAAATATGATATGATTTGATTTATAGGAACTGACTGTGCATAAGGGATAATTTGACTGTACTTTTCAAAACTTTTTGTCAATGAAGACTCCAAGGACACCAAGCATGACTAATTACAAATCATATTTTTTGTTTACCACATTGTGTTTCTTTTAACATTATGATATTATGTCCATAATCAAGATAGTTACTTTAACATTAGTATTTGGTGAACCCTGAATAATCAACAGGCACCAAAACGCTGCTTAATCACTACTGGTGGAAGAGAGGATTATCAAGCACCTATGTTTCTGTACTGAAAATGTAGGGACATGTATATTTGAATTGTAATGAACCTATTTTAATGACAGAAATGCTTCAAAAAAATCATCAATGTCAGAAGAATAAACAAGCTAAAAAGGTGAAATAGACCTCAGCAGCACAGATTAAACACAAGGTTTTACTGGATATTGTTGATATTGAAGAGGATTAAGATACAAACTCTATGTCTGTTTTTGATGAAAGAATAATGTTAACTTAACCCTTCTTACCAGTTTTTAAGGCAAATATGAGGTCATCAAACTCCTGCGACTCCTCGTCCGCCATCACCAGGTTTGTGTTGACGAAGCCTCCATCGGAGCCGTACGTGCCCATCGCTGGACTGGATTTGAACACAGCGCTGGACTCACTCTCAGGATGAAGAGATGTGCGCTCCCAGTCAGCGGCGACCTGAAACAAGCCCAGGACAAGTCATGAGCAGTGACAGTGGTGTGAAAGTAAAATGTTTAAATATGTTGTCGCTGGGACATACAATTGTCCCTGTATAGAGTGAGGGTCAGAGAGAGGGCAGTTAGGACCAAACCAAAGGGTCACTGCAGGTTCAGGGGGTAAATGGGCGGTCAGGGGGTTTAGGGTTTCACTCTACATCAAGTCCGACACAGAGGAAATCAAACAGCATTAAGAAAAATGCTTTGGTGTCAAAATTTACTAAACAATTTTACAATTACTCAATTGTTATGGATTTAGAATAATCAAACAAGTTGCACTAGAGAATACAAAAGGTCATTTCTAAGAGGCACCCTGATTACCTTTAACTTACACAATGAGCAAGATGAGCATCCGCTCTCCTTCAATCCCAACACCTGAGGCTGTATCGCCCTTTACATGAAGAAGCTTTTAAAACTACACACAAGTCGCACAAGGGACATTACAAGTGAAGCTCTTACCATCGCTGTTATTTAAAGTTTTCCTTGTAAAATATGTAATTTTAGAATTGAACATTTCTAGTTTTATAAGGATGGATGATAGACTTGGATAATAAACTTTCCGTAGTCCTTTATAATGTGATTCCTTTGGGGTCCTACACTACGCTGTGACCTTAGAAGACTAATATTGAAATTCTGAACTTTGGTTTGACTACTGAATACTGTATTTTGACGCTCCTGTCTTGCCGTGGTGAAAATCCAACATGGGTCACAACAACACGCCAACCTCTTCCACTGTTGTCCCGGGTCGACACGGGTCAAAAAGACACAGCTCTGTAGTGTGAATTCCCCCTTAAGTATATTCCTTCTCAGGCACATTTTTCACACCTCATTTATTCACAGGTTATAAACTCACAAAGTGCAGATGGATGTCTCAGCAAGATAGTGAGAATATATTATTCCTGTCAGAAAGTAAATTATCCAATAATTCAATAGAAAATGCTTTAAGTGACCTCTTCATGTGTTAGTTTTACATGTATTATTATTATTTTTTTTACATGGCTATAAATGGCTATAAGTAGGTCTGTTAGGTCATCTTGTGGAGATGTTTTATCTACATCTCCACAAATGTGAGTGACGACTTCAGTCAGAGGTGAATTATAATTATGGCAATATCTCAAAATGAAAAAATGAGTGTGTCCTAGATTCCAGCACAGTCACTGATTGTCGGGGGCACCAAGCCCCACCAGGCACTTCTTATCACATATCCATGTTCAAAAACTGTTTCATCGTCCCAATACCTAGTTTTGGCTTAAAAGCTATTTGGGTATTAACTAACCAGGGTATGGTTTGGAAAGTTAGCACATTAAAAGTACACTACTTATGAACAAAACAAGAAAAGGAGACTCCTGATCCTTGTCTTGGGTCTTGTGCATGCGATGTTTCACTGACCATGGGACCAAAGATAAAGGTCACTGAACAGAATTGTAGACATGAAAATCTGACCGTAACGCAAACACAATTTTACACACATTACATAAGAATATATACTGACGGAGTGACTACACTAAAAAGGATTGCATTTGAGGTAAAAAGATCTAATGTCTATGTCTTTGTCTAAGACCAACTTCAGCAATGATCCCACGATCAAATATGACACACCAAATACAAGTTTTACCTGATACCTACCAGTATTTAGTGGTTATTATTGTGTTTTTACATGTACATCATAAATACAATAAGACAGAGAATGTCTTTTTGTTTTACCTCTTCCATGGCACTGATGAGGTTTTGCGTGGATTTGTTGATGTCGCCGCCGATAGACGCAGGTCCTCCTCCTGGATATTCAGAGTCTGGACTGTCATGGCCACCCATCTCAACGGTGTAGCTGGCTTTAGTGGGCCAGCAGAGCTGGTTGTGCATGACAAAGTAGACAGCAAACACATACAGGCCCTGCGGGATGAGAATGAAAAGTATTTGGTCAATTACATCATCAGTAAACGACCAGCATTACCAAATACAATGACAGCATTGACCGGTTTCTCTTCCTTGTCATTACCAAATCCTTTCAATCAACAACACTTTCCTGTGAATCACCAAAAAGACATTGAGGCGCTAAATACCACAGTGCTATCCTGTATTTCACAATGCCCATTACAGATGATGGCATTCATAGACCGGGCGAGTCTGACGTCACCAGTGGACACATCCCAGCTACATGTTGAGAACACTATAGGCTGCACAATGCTGGCAAAATTATACAACTGCAATTTTTCTGACCAACATTTTGATTGTGTGAAATAATCATTTGGTTCAGTGTGCACAATTCAATCAACTGCAGTTTAAAGTAAAACAAGAATCCAATACATTTTTGAACATATGTTTCTATAAATATTTTGGATAAAATAGTTGGGCTATTCATTTAAGTTGGTTTCTACTGTATTACAATAGGATTTGCTAAAAGAATGAAAGGACAATATGTCACGTTTAATCTAAAACTGGAAAACAATGGATATTTGTCACTCAAAGTGCGGGTACAATACTACTGCGCTTAAAGAAGAATAAAACACTATTCTGCATAAATGTCAAAACTGTTGAGTATGTTTCTCTTTTATCCTAGTTTGTGCAAGAGTTAAAAAACTGCAGTATATGTGATTTCGAAATGCAGCTGGTGGAATTGTGAAATTCATTTCACAATTCTAATGTAATCCTATTTTGCTTATTTTTTACAGCGTCAATGCAAGTCTGTGTAAAACAAGCAATAATTGACACATGGCACATAATATTGAGGGATCTTAATAACAGTATTTTCTGTCAAAGTTATGTGGTAAAGAAAGGCCACTAATTCAATACTATTAACACTGACAACAAGTGGATATCAGTTCCTCTTTTAGGATAACAAAACATGAGTAGCAGAGTATATTTAAAAAACGTGTGATATTAGTTAGGCTCTGTCTGTTGATTCACTTTGCTTTTCATCAGTGTTTGAGAACATTGGAGAGTGCAGTGTTTCAGTCTCTAAATAGAGCCATGTGATAGTGTGCTGTACTGCTGATAACATTTATGGTCCTTTTGTGCGAGTGAGGCAGGTCTGGGTCAGGGCTTGTGTTATTGAGGAACAGCTTTTACTATAGGCCTGTTATATAAGTGTTCTCTGATCACTCAAGAGGCTCCAGAGGAAATCACAGGGGAGCACAAGTTTCAGTTGATTTTAAATGTTTAAGGTACGGCTGTCTCTGCAACTTTGACCTGTATTATATTACACTAAATGTATGAGCTGCTCAGTAATAGCAGCATTGTCTTGAATAATCCTTCATGATGGAAAACATTCTATTTATAAACACAGTGCTAAATGCGAATTCGAGGATCAGAATTATCTACACAACAGGAAATATTCTGGTGATAATGCTGCATAATGATGTTTAAGCAGAGGATAATGGGGAGTGTGGACTCTGTGATAGAATTAGAATTAGAATTGATCCTAATCAACGTGGGCAGCTCATTCTGAATATATCTGTGATGAGAACTCATGTTTTGTATTCATTACGACCAGTTGGAGTAAAACATTACATGGACACAGCTGTAACATCTGCAGCTGGTTAACGAAGGCTAATTATCAGCTGTTGTTATGAACGGTGTCATACGACAAAAACAAGAACATGGAAAAAATGACTAATGGAAAAACCTCAGCAGGAATGAAACAAGCACACACGATTGGCTGTTATACACCGCTGATATTTAAGCAGAGGAGAGCATGAGTTTGACTAGAAAATAGTGTCAAAGTCTCTGTTAGGTTAAACTGAGCAATAAAACACAGCCACAAGGTCAGAAAGTGGCACAGGTCATTGGAATACTGAAATGATTTTGCATGTAGAAACCATAGACTATATATTAACGGACGTAGTTACGCCTATCTCCGCCGTTCTAACTAATGGGCCAAAAATTGGACTTTCATGGAGTGATTCAAAATGGCCGCGGGGGCTGGAAAATGGGAAACGCATCTGCGCATGCGTCAGCCGGCACGAGCCCCATTCATTTAAACGAATGACTTCATAAATTCACAGCGAGTAAACAAGAGTGGTCCAAAAAAATTCACTCCCCTCAGCATTGACACACATGTGGAACGGAGCTTCGGGCCAAGAGCCAACTTTTGGACCATCCTGTAAAGGTGTTTTCGAGAGGTAAGAAGATGCTATATGTTAGCATTGGCTAATTCTTATTCCGGGTCCACCCCCATCGGCCCGGGGTGGTTCTCCAAGCATGTCAGCGCACGTCATTTTGGCCACTTTTGAGCCGGGACTTGCCCCCACTGGTAGAAACTTGAGGTACCCCAGCTTTAATTTAATAATATGGTTTTAAGGATACAGAAACCAAAGATTGAATTAAGTACTAATTATGTTCCAGTCGTCCACCTGAGCTGCTCTAACTAAGAAACATGTGAGTGAGTCCCCAGAATGAATAGCTATGACCACATTACACTTTGGACAAACTCTAATGAGAACGTGCTAAGTGCGACATCAACTGTTGCTGCTGACTTCACTTCTGGTTGCCAGATACAAGAGGCGGTTAAATGACACTCCCCTGTGATTCTAGCACAAGGGTGGCACAAATTATTGAAGATTAACTAAGGCATATGAGCCCAAACATTTCAATCAGAAAATGTAACTAAGAATATGATTAGATAGTAAGAAAAAAAGGCCATTACTTGTTCATTCACGGAAATGGACCACAGACAACATCATGGCAATTCAATTTGGAGAGACGTGAAACAAGAAAGCTTTTGAGTATTTTAATGAGAGGTGGTTTGGCGCCCTAGGCCCCGGTGCGGCCTTCAGTTAGGGGAGGCTCCTGCGCTGGGGCGCGTAGAATCCCCCCGGGGCCTAGGTACTGGTGGCGGCATCTTGGCAGCGTGAAGCAGGTTTGAAGGCAGGTTGGAGGCAGGGTGAAGAGGAGGAGGAGGGGAGGCGGTGGATGCGAGGCTTCGGGAGGCCGTAAAATGGGAGTTGCTCCGCTTTTAAGCGGCTGGTCTGTCCGGCACGGTGTGATTGGAAGGGGGCGTTTGCTGCGCCATAGGCTGAGGATGTGAGTCGGCCCGGAGGGGGTAGCTTGGGCTGACGTCTTCTAAATTGAATTTTCGCGAGCTACATTTCAATTTGGAGAGACGTGAAACAAGAAAGCTTTTGAGTATTTTAATGAGAGGTGGTTTGGCGCCCTAGGCCCCGGTGCGGCCTTCAGTTAGGGGAGGCTCCTGCGCTGGGGCGCGTAGAATCCCCAAAAAGGCTGTGAGTTGATGGGGTTTTGCAGCCTGGTTTGCAGGGGACAGACGTCGTGGCTGCTCTATGCTGTGACCGCTATCACTATGCTGTGACCGCTATCGCTATGCTGTGACCGCTATCGCTATGCTGTGACCGCTATCGCTATGCTGTGACCGCTATCGCTATGCTGTGACCGCTATCTCTATGCTGTGAACCGTTTATGCGCTAACCATTTTTTGCTATGCTGTGACCGCTAACACTAACGCTGTGACCGCTACCACTAACGCTATGACCGCTATCACTGACGCTATGACCGCTATCACTGACGCTATGACCGCTATCACTGACGCTATGACCGCTATCACTAAGCTATGACCGCTATCTGTTGTGACCGTTATATGCTGTGATCGTTATGCGGATACTCAGCTGCTGCCGCCACCAGGAGTTTTGCGAGTGATTTATGGAGATGCCAAGAGGCGCTGGGCTGCGAGGATAGTCGGAGTGTCAGGCCTGATGTATGAGGAGAGGGCCGATGATGACCAGCGGCCCAACTGCTGAAGGGCAGAATGGGGGAGACCCAGGGACGCGGCACGCGTGGCGGCGCCTATTCTGAAGGAGTGGGCTGTGTAGAGATAGGGAGACAGGTTACAAAGCAGCAGTACAGACTTGAGTTGGGCTCTGACCCAGTTGGAGGACATCGGGAGGTTATCGAGAGTGAGAATGACGGTCCGTTGAGATCTCCTTTCCGTGAGCGGAGGCGAGTGTAGTGCATCATGGATCAAGCGAGACTGTATGATTTCAGAGTGGAAGGTGAGAGGCCCATCTTCATGTAGGATGCCGCGGAGGAGATGAGGAGGCGAAGAGACGGAGGGATTAGTCCGGGGCGAGGGATTCCATGCAGGGGATCTGGCATGGCGATGGGTTGGCAGAAGGGCAGCGGCGTCGGAACTCCTGGAATTTGAAACGAGAGAGAGAATCAGCGAGACAATTAAGGTGACCAGGGACGCGACGAGCAGTGATAATAAAATTGTTCAGGACTGAGAGCCATGTGATACGTCTAAGAAAAGACATGATTTGGGGAGAGGATGAACCTCGACAACGTCGAGGTTGTCGCACATCACGGAAGTCCTTTTCCTCTGCCACATATGGCTCCACAGCGCGCAGGCTACGGTCACGGGATATATCTCGTGGAGCGCGGAGGAGATGTTTTGAGGGAAGGCGTCGGGCCAGGGCCCGGCGAACCACTGGTCCTGAAAGAATCCCCCAAAACCCACGGACGGGGCTGCGTCCGTGAAGAACCGCAGGGCGTCCGAGGATAGGACGACGTTGCTGTAGAAAAAAGGAGACGCCATTCCAACGGCTCAGCAGGCGGGACCAGAACGCCAGGTCGGAGCGGCACCCCGCGGCCAGGCAGACCGCGTCGTTGAGGGAGGAGACGGAGCCGGCGAGGGAGAGGAGTCTGGAGATGAAGGAGCGACCTTGAGGAATTATGCGGATGGCGTAATCAAGACGCCCGAGAAGGGAGAGCAACTGACGCTTCGAAAGTGACAGGGATGACGGGGCAGACCGGGAGATAGCGCGGATGCGCTCGAGTTTGCCCAGCGGGAGGGAGGCCTCCGTGGCGCGCGTGTCGAGGCGGATGCCGAGAAACTCTAGAGCTGTGGCGGGCCTGTGGTCTTCTCCTCGGAGAGGGGGACTCCCAGGGCGTAGAAAGCGAGCTTGAGGTTGCGGAGAGAGCTCCCGGAGCCGTCCGAGGGTGGGTCTACCACGAGAAAGTCGTCGAGGAGATGCGGGACGGAGGGGAGCCGTACATAATTTAGCAGGATCCAGCACGGCGCCTCCGCAAGAGAGGGGCGCTGGAGGGAAGGGGCTGTTGATGCTCGGGCGGGCCCGGAGCGGGGACAGGAGAGGACGAATATGAGACGCTTCTTCCTGGAGTGCTTGCGGGTGGCGATGCCCGTCGGGTTAGAGCGAGACGGAGAGAAGGGGCCAATGACGTAGCACACGGACACCTCCCGCGCCCGAGCCGCGTGCCGACTTGGGGCTCACGGAGAGCCGGGAAGAGGTTGCGGGACACGAGACGCCGAGGGACCTAAACAGAGCTTGCAGTCCAATGTGAGGAATTTAATAGAGTTCTACGGTCCAAGTGAGGGATTAACTGAGCCCGCAGTCCAAGTGAGGAGTTTAAACTGAGAGATTACAGTCCAGTGAGAGGGATCCAACAGGCCTGCAGTTTTATTTATTTATTTATAATTATTTATATTTATTTATATTTATTTATATTTATTTATATTTATTTATAGTTATTTATAATTATTTATAGTTATTTATAATTTTATATATTTTTTTTTTTTTTTTTTTTTAAATATAGCGTTCCAGATATAGGCAGTACCATGTATGCAGTTCCATGTATAGCCGTACCATATGAGCAGTTCCAATATAGCGGTTCCATATATAGGCAGTTCCATATATAGGCAGTTCCAGATACGGTACAACAGTTCCAGGTATAAGTAGTTCCAGATATAATTTAAACAGCGCTTGCAGTCCAAAGAGAGGGATTTAAACAGAGCCTGCAGGCCAAAGTGAGGGATTAAAACAGAGCATGCGGTCCAATATGAGGGATTTAAACAGCGCTTGCAGTCCAGAGAGGGATTTAAACAGAGCCCGCAGGCCAAAGTGAGGGATTAAAACTGAGAGCATGCGGTCCAATGAGAGCGATTAAAACTGAGGTCTTGCATTCCAATGTGAGGGATTAAACGGAGCTTGCAGTCAGAGTGAAGATTTAACGGAGCTTGGTTAAAGAGGGCCTGCAGACTAATGCGAGGGCTTTAAACTGAAGCCTGCCCACCAGCACTGGGCCAACTGAGCCTGCAGTACAAAGCGAGGGGAAAAACCGTCCGCGGATCTCATACTTTACCCACAGCGCCAGAAGACAAGGGACAACACGACGGGACCACGCCGTACCGGCACAAGGAGACAGGGATGCGCACGGCTCCCACCGCAACGGGCTAGACCGGCCGTATGCAGCAGCAGGCTGCGACGAGACGAGCAGCGGCAAACCCGCGGAAAGAGCCCGCAAAGGAGGAGAGCGGCAAAGACCCACGGACCACGCACGAGACCCGCAGCAGGTGCAGCCACAGGAGGAGCAGACCACACGCAGCAAGACAGAGGACAGCAGGGACACGCACGAGAAAGCGTGAGTAGACAAAGCGATTCCTCCAGAACGATTCTTTGCGAGGCTGCAGGAGCATGCGAGGCTTCGGGAGGCCGTAAAATGGGAGTTGCTCCGCTTTTAAGCGGCTGGTCTGTCCGGCACGGTGTGATTGGAAGGGGGCGTTTGCTGCGCCATAGGCTGAGGATGTGAGTCGGCCCGGAGGGGGTAGCTTGGGCTGACGTCTTCTAAATTGAATTTTCGCGAGCTACATTTGTGGTGAGACATCTGCCCAAAGCATATATTTTGGTCTGCTAGTGTTTATTCTTTTGATAATAATTGAATTACTTTTGCTGGTGTTTGTCTTTGCACAGAGTAATACAGCATGTGCTTGGCATCCTTACATCACAGTCTGGATGAGTAGATTCAACAAGTGCAATCCGAGATCAGCTTTCATCATAATACAAGATAGTGTGTTACGCAAGGCTTTGAAGTATGAGAGCACCATGAAAGCACAAGGCCAGCTGCAGAAACATATGTTTGATAAAGTAATCGGCCACGTCCTTTAATCTGCTGCAACACAAAGTCTGGATAAAAAATTGAAAACTAAATTTTGGAAAGTAGGGAGTGAGTGCAGCAACAGGTGTGGGAGAGTTCTAATGTAGTCACAGAGATGGGAGGACTGCCCTCAGAGCACCAGGCTGTACTTCAGAGCCAGACGACATCACTTTCTACACTGACAATGGAGGCAACACACACACACACACAAATCAAGAATATTTGTGTGGATGGAACCTTATGTCAGCCATTTTCTTGGTTTTTCATACATAAAGCAAGCTCTGTGTGGCAAGCTCTCGGGTGATGTCCATTGACTGTAGAAGGAGTGAACTAACCAGTATTGTTGTCTCCCATATTGTTTTCTTTTTGCAGAAGAAGCCGTTTAGAGCTAACTCGAACAGGTTCCATGGGCCGTTCGTGAGAGAAGACACCTGATTGGTTTTTTGTGAGGGTATTTTTGATTTTATATTGGATTTACAAATACAATATCAAGGATCACAGAGAGTGCTAAAGTGAGCAAGAGAACTTCCCTATTGAGCTTTTGTGAGCTTGGGGATTTCCATTGTCCATCTTGTCTATAAGTCACTGGTTACATCGATTTGAAAAACGTAGCAAAACAAGAAGAACGCGCTTTATGAGCACTGAGCTTCAAACCATGTTATAATGTTTGTAGTTTAATTGATTCAGTAAACATATTATTCTGCATTTGCACAGAAAATGTATTTACTTTAGATTAGTAAAACCTTTCAGAATCTTGGTTGTACATATTCAGTTTGATAATGTAATGTCGCTTTAATGTTTGCTTGAATATTACAAAAGTTATGTCCAAACTGTACAGTAACTTTATTACATATTATATTTAGGGACATGAACATCTTACCAGCAGACAGTTGAAAATCACATAGAGGATGAGCATCCACATGTGTCTGTAGGCCATGTGAAGCCCCGCCCACAACCAGACCAGCGACACGAGCAGGAACAGCAGCAGCACCAGCGGCACCTCTGCAGAACAACAGTCTGGTAGTTAGTGTACTGCTGTGCACTTACACACCTGCACCTTTTCTTTGTATGAACACAATTATGTGGCTGAATACGATTTAGATACAAATAATAATCAGTCAATCTGCTGCAGTTTCTTCTGGGTGTTTGAAAAAGCCTAGACAGATATCATCTGTATCGTTGTTGTGTTGGGAATGTATATGTGGAGGTCAGAACATAACGAGGACAAACAACAGCTCTGGTGATCAGAGGAGAGCAGAGTCATGACATAAAAAAACAACATCCGCTGTTTTTTCATGGCTTCAAAACACATTACTTACACATATGACAAGAGCGTAGCACATACAAATATTGTTATGTCAAAGTTTAATGTTGTGTGTGGTCTGTCAGGTGGCTGGGATGATGTGGATTTGTTTCATATGAACTGTAAAGCTACATGCCATATTTATCTTTTATTTCTGTGCAGCATTGATCCCTGCTGTCTTGAACTGTGGTTACAACATAGGAATGTTCCCACTGTGGCACACAAGGTGTATTATACAGTAAGAAAAGTTGCGGTGACTTCTATGTCTCCCAATAGTTGTAAAAGAAAATCTGTAGTCATCATGTGTGAAATATTGAAATACAAAAAATGCAAGTAAAATATATCCAAGATGCAAACCAAGTGAGTGTGCACCTTGGTTGGTGCAGACAGAGTTCAGTTCACAAGTAGGATGGAAACATGGGCACAGGGCCCAGGTTTGCACAGACACTGCACATAGGTGCTACTTCCCCAACACTGGCAGCTTCCCTGTGCATGAGCCACACATGAAGCTATATTTAACAACATTTTAGACATTTAGACAAGGTTTTACTATTTTGTGGGACTTAACTTTGTTCTTAAATCCCCAAGCACAAATTTGTAGTGATATTTTCACATGAGTGTTTCGCATGATGACATTTTGTGCATGTCTTGATCTCCTGAACTCTTACATTTTCCAGCTCTGTAAGCACATTCCAGTCTGTGGCAGACAGGAGCTCCCACAGAAGAGGAGGTTTCCAGAACCTCATGAATGACTCGCTCAAAGTGTGCTCTCAGCAACTTGAATTGTATTTGAATGCATATTTTCGACCAATGACCTTGAATCTGAATCATGTAGTTATTTTTCTAAAATGCATTTTAAAAAGTCCCTCCTCTTGGTAAAAGCACAACCAGTAAGATTTGCTGAAGGAGAATAGGAATAAGAAGTTGTAACTTTCTAATTGGTGATTGAAACGTTTCTCTCTTTCTTCACAATGACATTCACTTTAACAACCAATGAAAGTGATGCTGAAATACAGGTCAAACTCAGGGAAATAGAATATTGTTTAAAAGTTCATTCATTTCTGTAATTCAACTTAACATGTGAAACCATTTTAAGATATAGACTCACAAAGTGACATTTTCCATTTTCAAAATATTCTAATTGTTTAATTTGAGATTTTCCCAAACTGTGAGCCTATTATAAACGTTATAACAAATAAGAGGCTCGATATATCTCACTTTCCGTGTATTTTCATATATTGGTTTCACATCTTGAACAATATTTTCTGAGTTTAACCTAAATACACTGATGTGAAAAAAGTAGTTCATTTTGAGGTCAGTGAGTTGTTGACAATAAATGACAGTATGACCACGAATGTGCTGAGCCTGGAGTTCTCTAATCAAACATCTTTATCACGTGCTTTTTATCTCAGTCAGTCAGGGAAAACAAGCAATAAAGAAGAACACATATTTCATCCAACATTGGCATGTATAAATGCATCAACTCTTTCTACAAGCATGTCTGATTTTAACATTGTTTGATTTTAGCTTCTAAGTCCAGACCTGAAAAGAATGTGCACTTTATAGGATTAGGTATCTGAAGGCAAACACTTTCCCGAATAGTGACGTCAGAAAAGCTGCGATATCTCACACAGCCATGAGAGTGAGAGCAGACCATACAGGCTCCTATTTACTGAGCTGCTCTCAGCCAGCCACACTCAACTTACCAAGTGAGTGTCTGCAATCATTTCTCTTTATTATAGTTAACCCCTTATCACTCTGGCCTATTTTCAAAAAACCTGTTAAAATTCTGTAAAATTCCAAACTGGACCTTTTGGAAGTGAAGGCTCTGTAGTTTGGGCATTTGTGTAATGAGGGAGGTTTTACAGCTGAGGCAAATTTAACTGAAAATGACATTAAGGGACCTGTATTAATGCAAAAGGTCCAAGCGGAATACATATATATTCCCTGACAACTTTAGTGCATTTTTTTGGGCAGTTTTTGTGAGTTCGGAGTTTAAAGCAGTCCTGATTCATTTCAAAATGTTGGAATCGACTGGAAATATCCAGGAGTTTGATGGAATAGGCTGACAATGAAAAAAAGAGTAAAACCCAGATAATTCTTATGGTTATGCTTATTTGTTTACATACAATAAAAACAGGGACACATTCCAGCTTTCATATCATCGGACTTTGGCATAAACTTAGAATGAACCTATTGTATCTAATAATAAAAGAAGTGTTCCAAGATAAAGGATTGACTATAAACTAAAACTCCTTGGCCCTGAAAGTGATTGTGAAACCATTGTGATTGTTGTTGTGTAATTTCTTTGGTAAAGGTGCACTTTAATAATTCCCGTAGGGTAGGGTGTCAAAGTCAAGGCCCAGGGGCCAGATGCCCGCAAGACAATTTTTACTGGCCCATAAAATTATTTTGTATTATTATTAACTTGCAGCTTTGATGTTAATGGGTGACCAAGGCAGGTGAAACATTGTCTATTTTCTGGGGAAAACAACCAAATTGAATGTATTCTAACATTTTAACCCAATAACACATCATTAGAAGTTAAATATATCAATATAAAATGTGTTTAACTTTATATTTGATGCAGTTTTGGTTCAATCTAAACAATAAACACATTTTTTTTTCAGAAAAATCAACCAGAAAATAACAGTGAAACTCATGTCACAAAGTCATGTTAAAATAACTTCATAATGAAAAAACTATTATTATTGTTTTGGCCCCTGACCAAAATGAGTTTGACACCCTTGCTGTAGGGTCATTCATCCTCTGCGTTTGACCCATCCTGAAGGCTTACATCAGGAGCAGTGGTCGCCGTAGACTTAGAGCAACGCTCGGGAACTCATCTCCAGATGTTGATGCTCGGCTTTGTCAGGACCGAATTTACCCACATGTTTTTAGTGGTAGGAGAAACCAGAGCACCTGGGAAAAACCTACGCAGGCACGGGGAGAACATGCAAAATCCACTCAGAAAGACCCTGTTCCAACCAGGATTTAAACCCAGGACCTTCTTGCTGAGAAGCTATCCACTCAGTCGTCCGGTAGACAATGGCTGTAGACATCACATTAGCTTGAACACTCGCAGTACCTGTGCTGTTGGTGCGTCCTCTGTAAACGTCGTCGTAGGCCTTCCACTGCTCGGTGACCTGATAGGCGTGAATGAAGATGACCCCCACAGTGACCAGACAGATGAGGGGCACCAGAACAGCGGTGCAGAGAGCCGCATAGATGTTTGGGATAAAACATCTGCAAAAAAAATACATAAAACCGACTTACACACTCCACACTGGAAAGGCAAATGCATGGTTCCTTCCACAAACGGCAGTATTTTGTGAGACGTGTCCTCACTAAGCTTGTCAAAATAACTCAGTTTTATGAATCGATATATCGTCCATATAATTATTACAAAAAAGGTACATACAAATATTGAAACTACTTAATGCCACTGATGGTAATACATGAAAGAAGGATTAAATAAAAAGCAGAATAAAGCCATATGTATGCATATATAATCAGCTAAAACCTCATAATTTGATCAGGAAATAGCAAAAAACTCAACTTTTGCAAAGAAAATGTATGAGTAATAAATGATGAGTTAATAGAATAAAAATTGTGACAAACATATACTGTGTGTGTCATTTATTTGGAACTTCATAGACTCCAAATAAATAGTCTCTAAATATTGTATTTCACAATTCTGAAAATGTTAATGGTGTCAGAATATTTTGCAATGTGATTAATGCTTTTTTTGGGATAAAAAATAAATTCATTTTGGGGGTCATTTCTGATTTGAATCATAAAATGTGTGTCTGTGTGTTTTGAGAGTGAGAATATACAGTAATCACACGGATTAAAGTATTTATTTTCTCCAAACCATTTGATAATCTGGACATCAATAAGCATTCATTTTACTCTTGTTTGGAGATACATGTATGTTTGCAATGCACTAAAGTCACACGATCCACTGTGTACAGAATGTGCAGTTCATAAATTCAGGGGGTAATGTTTGTCTCTGGGAAAGTCAACATCCTCAATTAGACAGAAACCGTTTCACAAAACAAACCTTGCCTTCGGTTTGGTGGGATTCACGATAGTGTTACTGAACTTCTCTGGAGATGAGTCATTTGAGCGGTGCTAGTCATAATACAATATTAGGTATGCCAAATAAAGCATTACCTCATCTTCCCCAAGGAAACAGGGCCAGAGGAAAAAAAATGTTTTGTGAAAACGCTGTTGCATTGCTGTGGCCTTGGGAACGGCTCCAATACAAGCGTGAGCTTTCCCCTGGTGGTGCACATGCTAATGCTATAGGGGTGAGCTGACACAGGACTAGATACATTACTGTAATTGAGGAACTTTCAATGAATGTTTACAATATTTGGATTTTAAAGTGTAATTGCATTGTTTTAGCTGCATGGATTTATGTATGTGCACAGTGAGGAATGATCGCCTTTTGATTCATTTGTTAAAGAGAATAAGAAGTGACATACTGTATATATATTAGTACATCACTCAGTAGAGCTGATAATTAAAAGTTTAAATGTCTCTGTTTACAAGATGACCTGAGGCAGTTCTTAAGAAAGCTCTCCAAAAGTGTCATAAGAACATAGCCACAGGCCTACAAACGTATTCTAAATATTCAAGGCCCTCGATTTCACAACGATTGGAGTAATCCAAGATTTTTGGGTGCTATAAATAGCTGCAGGGAGGCTAATTTTAGATCTGTGTGCACATGTTTAACAGAAGTATACAGTTTGAATGTCATTTGAAGCTTTCGCACAATCTTAAAGGCAAAGACTCAGGTTTCCATGGGTGGAGGCGTACACAAACACTGAAGCTCATTCATGTATGCATTCATTCGATGGGGCGGCCCATCTCCTCACATGATGTCATCTCCTCACATGATGTCATCTCCTCACATGATGTCATCTCCTCACATGATGTCATCTCCTCACATGATGTCATCTCCTCACATGATGTCATCTCCTCAGGCGTTTGCTCAAGCTCAGTTCCACAGCACCTGAACGGCTGAGTAACCGAACCAGGGGCGTTGCTTCAAAATCACACAAATACTCACACATCCTCCAGCACCAGTCCGTACGTGGCGTATATGCTCCAGCCAAAGCCGCCCAGGAGCACTATGACCAGCACAATGATCACGAGCGACGGAAGGCCCCATCCCAGGAGCGAGTACAGCAAGTATCTACGCTCAGTGTGCTCATCGTTCATCACCAAGACCTGCCAGAAGTTCACGGCCTGAGAGACACAAAACAGTGTTATGTTACTCCTACTCTGCCACATGTGTGTAAAGGTTAGACAAATATACCATCAATTGTCATTTCCATGGTTACACAAACATGCTTATCAAGTGTATCAAATCTATAGCTATATTTGCTTTGTAATCCAGAGAGCTTTCAAGCGCTAGGGCAGACAACGTTATGCAACTCTGAACACCTGTTATCATGTCTTGCAACAGCTAATCCAACCTCATTAAAGCTTCAAGTTATCAGCATTTATCCAGGGCCATAAAAGTGGAATCTACCTCTTTTGAATTGTGTGATAATGTGTTGCAATGACAGCACTACTGTTTGTCAGTGTCTAGCATCTGCAACACAAAGGGGCCTCAAAGAACCCTCAGCTCCAAGACGGTATTGTGTAACATACTCTAAAGTGAAGTTTGTTTTGAGTCTGCCTTTTGGCCATGAGTGCAAGAAATGCATTATGGGCACCTTTGTGCAGTGCTTTTGTCTGACAGAGGTCGTGGAGCTGATAGCAGTGGTCTCTGTAAAATCAATTTCTGTCAAAAGTAAGTTTTTTTGAAAAGTACAGGTAAAATAAATGCATTGCACTCATAATTTAGAAAGTAATTTGTGCAGTTATACAATATATAGTCTGATAAAGCTGAGACTGCATTAGACAAAAGCCTGGTTATCGAATGCACGCCACAATTATTGATTAAAGTCTTTATGATCAGAGTGGTGAAGCTGCTGGCACCTTCTCAGATGCAGCACTTAGCTGAAAGAAGATCGGGGCTTGTGGTGCTTAGCTGTGCGTGTGGGCCAGGTTTCTGTGGCAGCCCTTGAACTTGAGCTTTGCAATATATTTTAATGGATAGATGACAAAACTGATGGAAGCAAGGATGCCCTCTGCATCACACCAGAACAGTGGGAACAGTGCCTTGCTCCAGCCATCTCCCATGAAAGTACCAACCAGACCCAAACTAGCAGAGATTTCTGAGTTTGACAAGCAGGTATGGCCAGGTTTGGGACGTCAAACCACATGACAAGTGAAGATTTTTACTATTTGCTCTTTTTAACGCACTGTAGCAATTTATGATTTTAATCCCATTTGTAATTTTAATGTTTTAAGGTTTTTTATTACTTTATGATTTTATTCCCTATGTTTTTAATATTTCTTGTGATCTTAATGGTTGTTTTTTTATCATTTTTTACGTATATGTAGATTCTAATGTTTACTATTCATGCTTGATGCGAGGCACTTTGTGTTGCCTTGTGTAGGAAAGTTGATTGATTGATTGATTGCATATGACGCTGGCCCAATTTGATGCATTCAGTGACGTGATGACAAAGTAAGAGGAACATGCTAAAACACTAAAGGCCACTAGCATAAAGGTTTATCTGGGGTCAGTGTTTTCCTTCGTGCTCATGTCTCCTAAGGACACAGTGAGGTACATTCTTGTTCTGGGGAGGCCAAAGGGTCAATTTCTTTCTCTTTGATGGATTAGGCTTAGACTTTCTTTGACTAACGCATATGTTAGCATGTTCACGTCATTAAAGAAAAGGACACGGGAGATTACAGGCTCATGGCATGTTCTCCTGTAGGCCTCTGTAAAAGTGCATTAGAGGTGATTTATGTAAAACTCATATCCGTGATGAGTGAGACCTAAATGAGAAAATTACCCAGGGAACACTGTGTGCATTGATTATGTAATAGTTTAACCTAGTTATTACCTGGATAAGCATCCAAAAGAATTGGCTCAGATAAAAGTAATGACTGAAAAGAGCCAATGCTGAGCAGCTGTCATCTGAAAAGACTCGTCCGCGAAAAGTGGACACCAGGAAGCACAACTGCAGACAGAAAACACCATATAGTTATTCTATAGTTGAACTTTATAACAGTTCAATGTTGCATAAATACAAGTGGACATTCAGGTAAAACAGCACTTACGAGATGACAGTATGCACCTGTAATTAGTGGAGAAGTGAATGTTTTGCAGGTCAAAAGTGTAAAGACAGGAAGATCATCCACCCTAAGGTCTTATTGTACAATGAAACACACTCAAATACATTCAAAATATGTTCTTAGGTTCAAACAACTGTAACATTTCAGGTAGAAAGGCCCTCTCTCGTGGACATAATGAAGCAGCAGACCCTTCACTAGAACCACTTCGCATCATGACTACAGTCGTAAAAGCATAAACCCAAGAATCATCACAACTCTTACATAACTTTAACACATCATGAGTTCTGGCTATAGCATGTGCAGAGCCAATAGAATAAAAGCACTAAAAGATAAATATTGAAACGCCAGCAAGATTTACAGCCCTTGGTTTTTCTAGAGATAAAGCATTTCTGCAGAAAGTGTTATATCACAACCAGCAACACACATGCAATAAAAGAACCACTGACATTTCCAACAAATATTCTGACAACACTGAAATGATACGTCTGCAAAAAACACTATTTAAAAAAACAAAAGAACTATAAAAATATGGATATTATTATAAATATTCCCATTAGTTTTTATTATTGTTTATTATATTAGGCAAAGCAGTCCATCGAGTGGATACCTGAAAGGAGCATAGAAGGTGTAATACTTAGGAGAGGTTATATTATAAGATTATGGGATATTGGCGATGATGAGTTTAGTCAAATGAAAACCCTTTATGGTCTAAAAGCCAAAAGTTCACAATTTCAAAACTTTGAAAACATGTTGAACTGTTTTCTAGCCCTCGCTGCAATAGCTCTATGCTAGAATTCTAACAGATCAACAACAATGGAAAAAATGGGTTAGGGTTAGTTATTGCGATGAACTTCGTCATAAAAAAGACTTGCTTGACACACATTAACTTGATGTTGACTTTTAAGAAGACACTATAGTTTTGTTATTGAGAGGCTCACTTAAGTATTGGGTATGAGTGTATAATTAAAAAGGTGTACGCTGATTGGCCAAAGGGTGAGCCTAAGGGTGAGGGGTGTTGACAAGTGATCACTGATGCTTATCATCAGGAGCGGCCTCTGTGTGAGCTCTAGTCTCTGTCTAGACCGTCAGGCTTCAGGCTGTTCTATCACTGCTCCGAGGTGTAATGCAGTAAACACAAAAGCCCTGTTCTGGGTGTGTTCTAATGCATCTGGTAGAACTGGAATTGCAGTATAAGAAAACAAGGTGTTATTCTCCCAGTGATGTGACATTTACAATGATGGGTAGAACAGTGGAGAAAACTAAACAAACAAAACTAAAGGGAATTTCTCTCTTTCTGTCTGAGGTTGAGCGTGATCCTGAACACAAAACAAGGAGTTGCAAAACAGGTACAAAGAAAAAAGCTTTGTCAGCTACACCTTGAACGTCTGTTTAACTTTTTAAAGAAATAATTCTAACTACATAAGCAAATGTAAATGAGGTATAGTTGTAATTTGAAATCAACAACCAGAAAACAATGATGAATGTATTGTATTACATTTTTGGAAGAAATACCGGATCACACGGCTTGGCGGACCTGATTTGGCCACAAGTTGAAAAAGGCTGCACAACTGGGTTAAATTTGTTTTGGTGCTGTTGCCTCCTGCTGGTGTGTTCCATTGCTGATCAATGGCTGTGTATGCTGATGATGCTGTACCGAAATGTATCACTGCAGCTAAAAATAACTTCACATTACATCACTGCATGAATGAGCGCCACCTTGTCTGTCTGCCGCTGCAGACACGCTGCTAATCACTCCAGTGGCTCTGGGCTCATCCCAAACGCTCTCTTACCCCCAGCTGCCTTCTTCTTCTACTCCACCCTCCCTCTTTCCCCTCTGCACCCTCCCCCTTCTCTCCACCGGTCTGATCTAGCTTGTTCCAGCCTCAGCCCACAGCTTACATAGTCTTTGTTCATTGTGATAGAAAGTATATAGGAGATATGAGATCACTGCATTATAAAAGCATTACTTTACTCATATAGGTCTCTCAGCAGCAGCTATAACAGGCTATAGATACCAACAACAACAACAACAACAACAGCAACAGCAACATATGTACTGATGGAGGGAAAACATTGAAGTTTGGTTTACAATGGAGCATTTCAGCCTCACAAGTCTTTCTGTTTGTGTGCATCGCTAGTCTCCCAATGTGCAACATTGCTTCAGGCGCTTGTGCCTGAGAAGTTTATGAAGGTCTGACTACTGGCTCATGTCCAAAAGACAAAGAAAAAAACCAACTTATTATTAACTTTGAACACTAAAAATGCTTTTACTGATATGGCTGTAAGTCTGTCAGTGATATATACCCAGCATGTCCCTTTTTATTACTTAATTGGTAGTTAATGTGTCCAAGAAACAGGAATGGTTCACGCAATATAAGTGACAAACACTAAACAATACAGTTCAGAAGCCTATTCATTTTGTACCAAGAGACCTATTAAGCACACTGAGATTAAGATTTTTACACTATAATGTAAATTAGCATGAACGTATTCTACGTATTCACAACACAAAACTGTAATTGAAGTGCAACAAAATCCATTTGTATGAATGTATCCAATGTATTGAAAGTATTCTCCCGAAACAGTCTGCTCAGTCTGTCTTTGCAGGATCTTGTATATTGTGAATATCAAGCGAGCTAAAGGTCATAGCACCGACTAAAGTTTACATGTGTTTTGTGTTGAACCTCAGACTCAGGCTGTGATGCTGAGACAGGTGTGGGCACATAAACACTTTCTCCCTCTTTACGTGTTTGAGGTGAAAACAAGGACCCAACCAAAACTACGTATTTGCTTACATAAGTACACAATGTAATACTGTAATAGTGTGTATATTCTCTAGATCACAAGTGAAAATTGGTGAAAATTGATGGTTTTATACATAATTACTATAAGGCTCAAATTACCAGTTTGTTGTCTGCATGTGACTGTGAATTGTAGAACTTTCAAATATTCTATCAAGAACAAGTCAATAGAAAAAAAAAAAAAACATTAAGGATTTCTATCATGATTTGTTCGTTTCACATTTCCACTTGAGATAAAGTGTGTGTGCATCTGCTTGCAATCACAGCAGCCTCTCAGACTTCCTCCACATCTGGGGTGATGCGGCCTGGCCCTGCACACACGCTCTATTGACTGCCGACACGTGGTGCACAAGCCCCACTATAAAAACACTGGAAGCAGCTGTTAGGCCTCAGCTCCTTCAACAACACACACCATGAGCTCCAGCCACTGGTTCAGACTCTAGAGAAGGGTCCAGAAAACTGGGAAATTATGTTTCATTGATTGGTCTTGAGAGGTCTTGATCCACTAACACCTCACTACTGAAGTTGTCAATATAAATCAACTGATCGAGTGACACTGTATATCTTGTAATAATTTTAGGTCTTAACATGCAACTATACATGCAACTATACATGCAACTATACATGCAACTATACATGCAACTATACATGCATCAATAGATGCATTAATACATATTGCATGCACATGACTTATATATGCATGCAATTTAGTAATAGTAGCAATATAGTGATGCAATAATATATGCTCTTCTTCATTCTATTTACCAGTATATATGCTACTAATAGCAACACTATTATCATTATCATATAACACTATTATCACTATTATCATATATGAAATCATTACATCATGTGTTTGCATCTTTGTATCACATTACAATTTATACTTTTATTGATCTCACAATAACATTGATTCTGAAAAATCCAGTCTGAATGATCATCAGATCTATTACACTGGGCAACAAAAAAATATTTTTTGAAAATAGTCCAGGGTTTTCTAGCTGAATTAGACTGATTTTGACGCTCTGAGTCCGAAAATGACATTGGTTTTGCTCAATCAGGTCAGGATCTTTTGCTACAGAAATATTTTTTTAAATCGATTTTGCGTAAAAAACAAATTTCTGCGGATCATCAGCTGAGAAACCCTTGACGTTTTTTCCGTTTTCCTCAAGAAATAAAAGTCAACGTATCCAAAGTCATTCAGTTTTTATTTACTCCATCAAATTTGATAAGCAGAATTCATAAAAAACGTAGACGTACGTAATCCGTAACACTATGGCTGTATCTCAAAAAGTTGACCTGATAGAGCAAAATGCATGTGATATTCGGACTCAGAACACCAAAATTAGTCTAAATCAGTTGAGGAACCCCTGACCATTTTTTGGCTGTCAACTTGTGTTATAGATCCATGGATTCTCGCCATGAAGCTTTAAATCTGCTCCACAGGAGCAGGTGTGGAGCTGCAGCGCCTCCTACAGACTTTAGTGGGGCATACAGCTTTATGGGGGATAAAGTTGACTATTTGCTACTGTATTGGCCTGGTTTAGTCCTGATGTTTCTTGCTGTGCTAGATTAATGCCAAATTAAATGATAGAATGAATGTGAGTATGAGTATGTAAGGTTGGGCTTTATGTAAAGTAAGTTGAACAAGGACAATATGCATAAATGGAAATGCTCTTATTTAAACAAAAGTCCTAAAATCTTCCTGTCACATAATCAGTTTACAAGAGCAAAGTTGACAACGGAGAAGCAGAGATAAAAATTACATTGGGAAAGCTTGCCTGACCTCTTGCTTCTGTTTGCTGTGCTTTTAATGGAAATAGAGCAAGGTTCATGGTGGTGTTTCTAGGACCACAACCCACATTTGGCAAAAATAAGAGATTAAAATCCAGAGTCCATTAAGTGCAGAGGGTGCAGCGACCATTCAGGTCACATTAGGGACAGTGCAGAGGTGTTTCAGTGACAGAAAATGCATGGCGTGACTTTGCCTTACTGGCTATTTCCTGTTATTGAAGTTAATGGGTGTATGTTTGTTTAAATGAATGCCATAGGAATTATTATATACATGATCATATTGCAAATATATTTTCTATATCTGAATTTTTCTGAATTATTTTCCAAATGCATTTATTATTTGGCTCCACAACCTCATAGTAGATTTATGCAGAGACAGCCGCAGGGATAAAACTGTAAAATCCCTCAGAGCAGGTTTTCTTATGGACTACCGTGAACTATTGAACGCTCTTTTGCAATTCATTTTGCAAGTGTTGGCCGAAAAATAACCTAAACGGTGTCAATAGTATGGAAGTGCACTGTAACTTTTATTTTGTTATTTTTTTATAACACTTTAAATATTTTGCAAACAATTTTACATTTCAATCTCAATTACAATACTAGCAAAACAATACTCAATACAAAGGCAATTATCTAGAAAAGCTCTTTTTTGGAAGACACAAGCTGTTCTGATAAAGTTTAGACAGTTCTATACTTGCTGGAATTAGTTTTAGTCCAATATTATCTGATTACGTCAACAGCGTTCATATTTCATGCCTGTGTTGTAGCACGACTGCACTGTCAATGTTGCTAACCCTTTTCCGTAATTTTTCTGTCTCTAAAATTGGAACATTGATATGTGGCTTATGGGAAACGAGTGAGTCATTCAGGATGTGCCAAGCCATTTCCACTTGCTACTGTTGCAAACTACTGAAGCTAAATAATGACAGAAGGATACAAAGTGTTTAGTTTTGCTGCTGTATCGGTCACAGGCGCGGACAGAAGATGCTGGGTCAGATGGACGGTGGTGTCAGGGTGTTGTGGAGCGTCCAGGGGAAACTGGAGTCCCCCGAGAGGCCTGTCTCTGTGTAAGGTAACTCTACACCATTCCATCGCGGTCTTGGCACTGAGCGCAGCCAACATCCCATCAAGGACAAAGCAACATCGCATCTAGCTCTCAGTATTTAAAACACTTGGAAAATATGCCTGTTTTGTCCTTTTTTTGTGTGCATACAATTTGACATCACTTCAAAGATTGATTAAGTTGACATAAGCAGTCCCCAGAGAAAGCAAGTGAATAAGGAAACACTGGTGTGGATAAATGCCAAGGTTGAAACAAACAGGAAATCTGCTTTTATCACCTCACTGATACCGGATATTAATAAATATGGAAGCACTGAAGTGGACACAGTGTTTGGTAAAAGAGATACAATATGAACTTCTTTAAGATAAGTTTTTCTCTCTCACATAGTTGTCTCAGTAGCAGGAGTTGTAAAATTCATCACTGAGAGAAAATACAATCTCATGGGCTCAGTCTCATGTAGCTAAACAAAACTAGAATTAATGAAATATTTGGCATTCAAGGGTGTGCTCAACACTGTATAGGCAGTATTACTCCACAATAAAAGCTTTGCAAATGTTTATATAAAACTTGCACACATACGTACATGCGTGTCTAATGTCACTTATATGCACAGGGTAAATTTCCACTCAGACAATTTTCAGTTGTCTTGCTGTGATGCAGGATCCAGTGCTGGTTGCTATCGAGGATTTGATGACATGTGATGAGCCGACTGTTGAAGCTCTACCCTCGTTAGGCTTTTGTCAGTGTTTGTACCTATGCAGTCATTAGGAGGCTGCAGCTACTAGGTTTTTATTGCTGTGCATATATTGCAAAATGTATTTATTGCTAAATATTAGTTGAGCTTTGGTTTCTGTTGTTGGAGTTTTACTTTCAAGATCCGTCGGTCAGTGTCTGAGTGTAGAGCCTTTCTGAGAGTGAGAGCTGACAGTTCTGATAAAGGCTGCGGCTTAGTCCTGCTGATGTGAGTCCAGATCAATGTGGGCCTAGTGACAGTCGTTACACTTGCAGTGTTATTGAATACAATACAATAATTAAGCTGGAATTTTCCATCCAAAACACGTTGATGTTCAGGGGCTCTTTCTGGGCCATAAAGTTTGAGGTGGTCACTTCCCAACGACGGACTGCTTCAGTAGGGGCTCATGCTTGTCAACCAATCCAGGGGGAACAGTGGAAAATTACTGCCCTTGCACTCAAGACACATGCGCAAACACGCGCATATGTTTGGGTCAGAGAAGACTAACCTCCAGCCACCTATTTCTCCCACTCAATGCTAATGACATCTGGATCTTTAAATGGGCAAGGGGCCAATGGGCATTGTTGTGTTGTTACATAAATTCACAAAGCACACAAATAAAAGTATGCATTTTGTTGCCTTCAGCACAAATCTCTGGAACACACATAGTCTACATGTTCCCGTTATAATGACGTGCTTTGTGTAGTTACAATGAATATCATGATATAAAACATATAATTTTATATATCTATTTTTTTACTCACTTCTATTTATCAAGTCTCCTATAAAAGAGTCCTACAATGCTTTAAACAGATCTTACTATGCAGTAATTTAGTCATTTAAATTGGGTATGGAGTGAATGAACAATGATTTGAAAGGCCTATCAATGCATTACCATCATTATTATGTCCAATGAAAAGTTTTACCTGAGTTCCAAGGCAGCTCACCATCATGTGAGTGAGCAGCTTAGCAGCAAACATGGGGAAACGAGAACACAGTGCTTGGGAAATAATTGCCAAACCAAAGGCTGGGGAGAAATTACCAAAAATGAATATTATAAAAAACAAACTTAAAAAATGTATGCATCTTTATTAGATATTACCTGATATACAAAATAACCCTGATGCATAGAAGGCCTCATTGTAGGATGCAAGAGAGGCCATCTCTGCATAGGCCGAGTAGATTGAGAAGTGGGAACAGGCACACTCCACATAATTCCCACTTTCTTTCACAACTCTGCAGTACTGGCTATTTGATAACCAGCTGTCAAACAGAAATAAACCACCTCTCATGACCTTGCAGTAAGCATGACTGATTGGTGTGGCAGAGCATTACCTGGCGGTGGTGTGATTCCAGAGAAGGCACAGAGACTGGCCAGGGTTCACAGGCTGACCTGCAGTGTGGATACGATAGACCACTTCAATACCAGGTTCCAGCGGTCCTGAGATTCTGTTTTGAAGGCTGGAGGAAAAAACCTACAAACAAAATAATGTGTTATTTTTGGAACAGTGAAGTCACATGCTGTACATTAAAAATAAAATATTACCTTTCCAGAAAGTGCTAAAGGTGTATTATTAGAGAGAAACCAGTGTTCAGTCGTATATTCAATTAGGTGGATTCGACTAAGGTAGCTGCAGTCCACAGTGACCCCTGGTGGCACCGTGAGCAATAAGTCAGGAAGTTGGAAGAAATCTGCATTACTTCCCCTGAATTTGTAGCCATTGATCTGAGTTGGATACCACTGGAAGGCAGAAATGGACATAAAGGGGCACGCACGTAGAACGGTGCCGCCTCTACAAAAATAAAGTATTAAAAAGTGTATTTAAGTTATTGTTTTTTCAGAATCACTTCACACTTCTGTACTTACATCGCACATTGCTTTTGGGTTAAAAGAGAAAAGGCAAATCTCTCTGTTACTTTAGCAAAGTAACTGTGCCCTCTAGTGTCAGCTCGACTGGGGTCAGCCAGGGCACACAACAGGCTGTAAGTCAGATTCTGGCTTCTTTCTTCTAAAGGTTCTCGCTCTGCCTCTGCAAGCACCTGGTTGGAGGCAAATGACACATACTTATCTGTATGTAGATAGAAAGTTAGCAAAATATGATTCCACTGAGTTAGGTTTTTTTATATGTAATGTGAAACCTTGCATCTCTTGCTTCCACTCGAGGCTCTTCTAAGTCCACCTGGCCAAACTAATGCACAGCCTTTTATTTCCTTTTACATACCTTTTCCAATGCTTCCACTACAGCTGTCAACTGCTCCTGCGTTACAGGAGATGTAATCTCATTACTAAGTTCTTGCAGCACAGAGTCCAGAATATTCGGATTCAGAGGTTGTTGTAACTGGTCCAATAAACTCCACACAACCACCGCCTCATCACTGGACACCAGCGTGATATTAGCACGTCCAAACACAGGGTGAACTTTTGCCCCATCTGTAGCATTGTACAGCTCCACTTGAAAACGCTTTGGTGTGGCCAACAATGATGCTTGATTTGGAGTTAAAATAATTTCCAGAGAGGCCACTCGTTGGCCGATACCAAAGTTTAGAAACCCTTCTTGTTTTGGAAAGTCTGTCTCTTCTTTAGCGGGCCAAATCACAGATTGACCAACAATTTCTTCTTTTGGAAGTTCCTATTAAAATGAACAGATGTTAAATCTGGTAAATTATGTTATTATCTCTGTGATTGAATAAATAATCATTCACTGTTTTGCATGACTATGAATTCACAAAAAACACAAAATGCACACATGTTAAGTGAAAACTAGGACAAACTCACCACAGTGCGATAATAAACCGTCATGGGTGAAGAGGTGCTTGCTTGTCTATGGATTTGGATGTTTAATCGAGTTGTGGACACAGTGGCTACGGGAAGCCTATGGCCCACAGCGAAGAACACACTGCCCTGTGGGTCATCACTTTCTACTATTGTAATGTTGGCAAATTGAGATGTCTCATTAATTGTCGCACCCTCTCCCACTTGAAAGATTTCCACTAAAAACCAGGAGGGAAACTCAGGCTCCTTAAAAGACATAGATGAGATTAAGTTTACATAGATGTCTGAAGATAATAATTTTGAGTCCTATGTAGCGGTACCTCGTCATCTTGAACTTCTACAGTGAATGCACAGATGACTTCTCCTTTCCTGCAAAAGGCTCTACCTGAAGTCTGCACGAGCTCGGCAGTCAGGTTGACCCCATTATTGACAAGACTAAATGACTCTTTGCTAAACGTAGCTCTCCAAAAAACCTGTAAGTCTTCAAAAGCTCTGAAAACCAACAAACAAAAGACATTTACCTCTTGCAAAGTCAAGAACATAATACAAACATAAACATAATAGAGTTTAAACTAGTAATACCTGTTTCCCTGTCTTTGTATGTAGAGCAGAGTAGTTCTGTTTTCTGAATCTTCATCTAAGACTTTTCCCACCAATGAGTTGAGAGTAAAGCCTATGATACCATTATGGAAGTCACTCCCTGCCACAGACAAACACAAGCATAGCAGATTAACATGTTCATTAAGGACAATCTGGAAAGAATGAAACTGATGAAGTACCAAGAATGGTGATTCTAACAAAAGCCTTGAACCCCTGCACTGGTCGATCAGTGATTTGAGCACCTCCTTCTGGGTCACTGAGGTAAATGAAAAACTCTTCTGCTCCTTCAGGCTCAGAGTCGTCCAGAATGAAGAGAACCACCTCTGTCTCATTCTGACCCTCCACCAGTGACACTTCTGTCGTCTGCAAGTGAAAATCTTCACCCTCCTTTGCAAGAGTCCCAACAGGGCCCAATGCAAAGGGTATGGGGACGGTACTTCCATCTATTATCAAATAAAAATAGTGATTATAATAACATTTTGAAATGTTCTTTATATTATTCTCTTATTCCTTTATATATAAAAAAAACACAGACAAATCTCTATCATTTTGGTCTTAATGAAGCTGTAAACCATTTCTTGGAAAGTTTACATTAAACATGGTAAAAGCAAAGCAGTGTGATAACTATGCGATATAATAAACCTTGTTGCATTCCATTGCATTTTCCCCAAATACCCAAAGTGTTAATGAATACACACCTCCATATGCCCGCAGTTGTACGCTGACAGACCCAGAGGCACTGTCTGACCTGCGCACCCTCAGGACCACCTTGTGCTCCAGCTGAGTCTCATCATCTTCCTTCACTTGCACAAGCTCTGGTCCAATACTGAGCACTCCTCCTGTCACATCACTGGCCAGAATAGTGACCGTAGCCTGGCGATGCTGAGGATGGAGGCGAGCGGGTGTGTCTGCCCAACGTGAATCCACAGACGGCACAGTGATGTCAGTGAGGTTGACGTTAAAGTATTCATCTGGCTCAGATAGGGAGTCGTCCAAAATAGAAAGCTGGAAGGATGCATTGGTTTGAAGAGGTGATTCAAAAACCACAAGTCCGTCTGAGACTTGTGCAAAGTCTTGTCCTGCTGTTGCACTTCCATCATACGTTTGATAATACAACTGTGTCCTGTTGCTGCGTGAGCCATACAGCCTCTGGACATAGAGGGTGATGGTCTGGATGTCCTCAGAAATTACAATATGACGGGAATCTAAAGCAAATTGATAAATCCCAAGAGGTTCTATCTCTGCCACAATAAATCCTGATCTGTAGATATGAAAAGATACACAGTGACATAAAAGACGTGACAATGAATGAGTGCACATTACTAAGACTAATAACAGTTAATCATAATGAAAGACAGCATTAAATAAGATATATGTGTTGAATGATTGCACTTCACCTGAGCTTTACATTGGTGGAGGTGGCATTGGTTATGTGGATAGCATATGCAGCAGGTTCTACTGTGTCAGCTGTGGCAACCAAGGGTATCGTCTTAGCCTTTTCTCCATGGACAAAGGTCAGGAGGCCTAACAGATAAAACAATAAACCACATTTTGATATTCCGTTGGATCAAAAACAGTTTATCACTATGATTTCAGTAAAGAATGTTTAGGAAGTTAAAGCTGCGGTACTTTTCCCACATAAATAACGCATTTAGCTTTAGATTGTCCAAACAGAAAATGTATTTTAGAACATTGAGATCGAGGAACTAGTTAGATGGATTTTATTTCATAGTTCTATTGATGGAGTTGGACAGTTATGCAGTTTTAAGTAAATCTTACCTGAACTTGGCAAAATGTTTCCCATTGTAAACCCACGGGGGCTTTGTCCTTTGGGGTACCCAGACTTCCACTCCACTGTGATGTTCCCAAACAGTCCTTTTCTAAGAATGATTGCCTCAAACGCCCCTGTGCCGATACTTAAGATACTGAGAGCCGTGGAAGCAAAGCCAACCTTAACAACAGAAAAAAACGTCAAACTGACATTTTCCCTCCACATTTATACAACAATGAATAAACATCTGCAATCTTACCTCAGAATTGGCGGCTTGTTCAGGTACAGAAACTACAGCAACATTGTCGGCAAAATGAAGAGTGGGAGGCGGTGCGGAGGTTGGGCTTAAAAGTCTTACATCAGTTAATTCTGCAGTAAAACTATCTCCCAAAAGCAAAAATGCCTAAAACAACAGAAATGCATAAAAAAAAACAAGTCAAACTGTGAGTGCTATAGATTTGGGGGTATCAGCTTACCTCACTGCTAATGGGCACAGTTACAGTAGCAAACTCCTCTCCTTCTCTGAACAACACTCTGCCCTGCGCTTGTCCTTGCAGGATCTGTTGGATATCGTCCGTGTCGGTGCCTCCTTTGATGCCGAAGCCCACAGTGGCATTTCCAAAGAGCCCACCCGAACGTGTCACATTCAACATCAAGGCTCTCCTGGTCTCTGCACCCGAGCCGATTATTACAACAGACTGATGCTGCGGGTTTAGGGTAAAAACTCCATGTGGATCATCATTGGCCCGCACCCTAACAGAAACAGAGTGATTAGCCAATAGCAATTAAGTAAGTAAGTAATCTTTATTCATATATCAACTTTCAAAAAACTTTTCTTTGTAGAGTGCCTTTCCTACACAAGGCAACACAAAGCGCCTCACAGCCCATATCACATTAAAATCTACATAAACATTAAAAATACAAAAAAATCCCAAAGGGCATTAAAAACACAGACCAGAGTCACAAAGAGCTTTACAATTGTTGTGGGCATTTTGTCTCTAACTCTAGACAGAGATGGGAGTGGGATCGCCACACAAGAAATCTACGCAAACACAGGGAGAACATGCAAACTCCACACAGAAGGCCTGTAGGTGGATTCAAACCCAGGACCTTCTTACTGTGAGGCGCAAGCGCTAACCACTGCGCCACCCTGCCGCCCGCAATTAAATCTCAGGTACCTGACTAAGACAAGATTTCAAATGTTTTATGCTTTGAAAGTAAGGTACCCCAGCTTTAAATGACTTCAATATTTGCACAATGTATAATTACCTTATGCGAGTGTTTGTAAACTGGGGGTTAGCGTCCAGTGTAGCGCCGCCGCCCACGCTGGTGAGGCGGACGATGTAAAGTTCCTCCAGCTCAGCCTCTGCATCTGGCATCAAGTGTAAGATGATCTCTGTGTCTCTTTGGCCTTCGGCAATCATCACAGAACCAGCCAAAACCATGAAGTCGCCCGTTGTGTCGGAGTCACTTTGGATTTGCCAATGGATCTGCATATACAAACCACAATGTGAGTTAGAGAAATAGTGAAATATGGGATAATTGTTGAATTTAGCGTACTGTTATGTTTCCCATGACGCCCTCTCGTCGAGTCACTATCAGGGTGATATTGACCGGGCCTCCTTCTTCTGTTGGTTCATCGTAAACTCGTTCTTTTAAAGCGTCCTCGGTGAACTGAACAATGCCATTAGGGTCTCCAAATTTTTCAATCTGTGCAATAAAAGTTTCAAATGTAGGTTTCCAAAATGTTAGCATATTACAAACAATGAAATACCTTTAGCTGTATGGAACCTTCTTGAGGATCAACATCCATTTCTCCAGACAAAATCATGAGTTCCACCACAAAGGTTTCTTCCACCTCCACTTCCCCATGAGGAAGAATACGCAGATCTATGATGTAGGAGCTTTCCTCACCATCTTTGAATGAGAAACTCCCATTAACAGGTTCTTTAAAATCGGTGTTGGCTGGAGGAAGAAGCTCATTGCTGTTTGGACCCCGAATCATCCAAGCGACCTGTTATAGACATTAAACTAAAACTTAATATACTTTGTGTAGATGTCGTGGACGCCATTTTAAAACAGGTAAATGTTCACATACTGTAGCGTTTCCCACTAATCCGCCTGCTCTCTCAAGAACAAGACTAATTCTCATTGTAGAGTTAGGGTTGGCCAAAGTGATCACGCTCACGTTGACAAAGCGCACTACACCGTTTGGAGAGTCACTCTTTGCAATCGTGACACTGGCCACATGTTGCAAACCAACAACAGCTCCACCTGAGGCACTTGTGAGCATGACTTGGAATACCTCAGCAGGTTCACTGTCAATGATGATACGAGTAATTAATTGAAATGGGTGTGAATGATAGATGTTTATGCAATGTTTACTGTAGCCTTACCTGTCAAGGTCATCTACAATAGAGATGTTTATGTAGCTGTTGTTTTGGCCTTCAATGAAAGTCATTGAGCCATTATGTAGGATGTAGTCAGTCATTGGGGTGGCGCTGAGCCCGATTGAAATGTACTGAGCAGAAATTAGTCCATACGTGCCCACCTTCCTCAAAACTGGGATCAAAAGATAGCCGATATCCTCCTCAACTGAAATGTTAACAAATCAATGTATTATCAGAATCAGAATAATTTTTATTGCCACGTAAGTTACAAATTATTCAGGTATTTGAAACGTATTATTTGTAATTACTTCACCTGTAATGTTAGTATACTCTGAGTTGAACTCCAGAACACCTTCAGCATTGTCATTTATCAAAATAATAACAGAAATAGAAGAAATGTTCCCAATCTTGGGAGGCTGGTCAAGCTGAAGTCCAAATTCGTTCACGCTGTAATCCACATCACTGGCCACCAGAGGGAGACTTGTTGTTACAAATGTTTGAACGTACAAGCTCTGCAACATGTGTGCAAGTGTTCAATGTTTACCTTGAAATGGCAACCTCCACTTTAGTGATATTTAGAACAAACATCTCGGGGCCTTCCGGTTCATTGTCATCATTGATATAAACGGTAATGTGCTGAGAAGTTTGGCCTGCATTGAAGAGAAGCTGCGCAGAAGCAGGTTTAAAGTCCACTCCACTGACAGCCGTGATACCTGTGGTCTCGTAGCTCAACAACACGCTGCCAAGGGCTCCTGACGACCGCGTAACTGTCACATTGACCTGATAATAATCAAATGAAAAGATATCTAAGTCTTGCTTAGTCATTATGAGATTGAAGGTGTGGAACGTACCATTGCCTCTTCTTCCAAAGCTGAAACCTGATGTTGAATGAATGTAAAGGTGCCGTAGGGGTTATCACTAGCTACCATTGTGATGTTGGCCTGCCTGGCGACTGGACTTATCTCGAGCCCTGGGGTGGCCGATGTCAGGGTCAGGAGGTATTGTCTGCGCTCTTCAGGCACGGAGTCATCCAGCGCCTGAAGTGAATGAATAGAAATATGAGCAGTTATTGAAATAAGGATTAGATTGATAGTGAATAGTACCTTTAGGTAGATGGTGGCCACAGACTGTCTGTCTTTAAACGTCACAGTTCCAGAGATTGTTTCAAACTCAGATGATATGGCGGGTGTAATGTTCCAGTACACCAGGGCATCTCCATATGCAGGCAAACCTCGCACAAGACTTGAAGGAAAATATTTATATACAGTCATTTATAAAAAAAAAAAAAATATGCAATTGTTTGAGGGAGGTGTGAGGCCTGACTCACCGGACAACAGCGCTCCCATTGTACAGTCCTCGAGGCTCTCCGATGATTATGATCCTGGAGGATTCATCCACTCCAACAATCCCTAGAGCAGCTTTATCTGCATTGATGGTGATTGTAGCTACGCCTGGCACAAAAGCAACACAAATTTGTTATTAGACAAATGATTATTCTATTGTACTTTTACATCATGACCTTGCAAACAGATTCAGATTATGAAATGCTAGTGGGCTTGATGAGATGATTTCTAAATTTAAATTAATCTTAATTATCTGCTAATCCTACAACCAAACCTTTTATTGGGTCAACGATGACATCTTTGTCCACAGGGAACAGCTGAATCCTAAAGTGCTCGTCTCCTTCTGGTATAGTGTCAGCAAGGACTCGAATTACAATGGTCTTCATGGTCTCATTCTGTCAAAATTTTAGAATAAATTAAATCATCCAAAAATTTAAATATTAATCTTATTTCTTACCTCAGTAAAAACAACAGTCCCATTCAGAGGCAGAAGGTCTTCTATTGCCCTTTGGTCTAGCTGCCATCTCAGAGTGACTGCCCCAAGGCCTTCAGAGGAGCGCATCACCACCAGGGAGGCTACAGCAGCTGGATCGTCTACAAACTCCGGCTCACTCACCGTAACCTTTAAGAGACAAAGACAAATATTTGTCTAGCCCGGTTCATACAAATACATGTAACAAAGTAAAACACGAAACATTTTAAAGTGTATTTCACTCTTAAAAATAGACCATTTAACCATGTAGTATCACGTTTAGTAAATATTTTCCGTGGCATAACCATCACCAGTAAATAAGTTTTGCTGAAGGAGAATAGTTGGGCTTGCTTTGGGAAAAAAATCTCTCTCTCTACAAATCAAAAAAATACTGTGGTTGGAAAGGAAAACTGTGGCATCTACTCTGACATAATCTCATCATGATGACAGTCAAGAACCAACCTCTGATGTACTGAATCCGAAGCGTCCGAATCGTGAGTCATTGGGAGGTATTGTTAAAACTATAGAAGTGAAATCTCCAAGTCGAGCTCCACCAATCACATGGAGCAGCGTCACTCTAAACGTTTCGGAGGCTTCTACTTCATCGTCATCCAAAACTGTGATGGCAATGTCAGCTTTTTTCTGTAGCAAACACAGACATAAACATAATAATTATAGGTTAAAGAATCATTACTCTGTATTGCCTCCACTCACTTGGCCGTCTAGAAAAGTGATATTTCCAGAGATGGGACTAAAATCATTGGTGTCAGCAGTGATCGGCTGCGCTTCCCAGTATAAAACCAATCTTCCAACAGTGCCCGCATTTCTTACAGTTGAGAGGTGGACAATATTGTCTGGCGGGGGCAACTCGTATGCAAACTTTCCACCTGGTATGTCCTGCACAAATATTTAAATAATGCATAGAAAAAAATCACATCTTTCAACTTAAGAATTAGGGGGTTTACTATCTGCATTCTGGGTAGTCCTGAAACATTGGCAAGAAAAATTCATGAGGCAATTGGAACAGGAAAGCCTAACCTTGTGGATGTAATACGCAAATGTAAATGACCAGAGTAAATTCTGATAAAACAGATAATTATTTAATCAAATATCACAGAACAGATTTTTCTTCCCCACCACTAAATTCCAGGTCAACATTTTTTGTAGTATTTTTCTAACCTCTGTCACGTTAAACTCCACTACTCCCCTGGGATCATCATTCTCCAGGATGACGATTTCTGCAAGTTCTAGTCCTGGCCTTTTCACGCTGGGCTGACCTGGACCCACTGCACCACTGACCAGCTCCACAGCTGTGATGTTCACGTAGAAACTTTCATCCAGTTCTGGAAAGTTATCCTTCAAATAAATAACATAAATGAAGATTATTAGTGTTATAACATAAAGCAGATATCACAAGTGGCTGAATGTACTCACAGGTAATATAGTAATTGTAATAATTGCGACAGTGGCACTCTCAGGCATTATAACAGTGTTGGTTCTGGCAATGTAGTCTTGTCCGGTGGTGGCTTGATTGGAAGGAGGTAAATGCAAAGCTGGCCTGGTTTGATAGTGAACAGCAACATCACCCATCGAGCCCTGATCACGGACAACGGACAGAGTAACATTTGTTGCACCTCCTGCGTTTAAACAAGGGAAGCACAATAAATAAAACATATAACTGTGGCGCATATAGTGAGGCTTCTGTTACTGTATGCAAAAGAAAAAATGAAAGAGCCCTGCAGTTTCCACTATGTGCATTGTGGTAAATAAACTTACTTTGTGACTCATTTGTTTGTGTGAACTGGGAGTCCAGGTGCCAGCCAATGACCCCATATGGAGAACCATTTGGTTTGATGGTGATTAAAAACTGAAACAGTTGCTTGTCAATGACTGCAGCATTCTTCAGGTCCTGCACCTCCATTATTACGTCAGAGAGGGTAATAATGACAGTTTCAGTCAGTTCTGGAATACCATCTGCTATTATCGTCAATGGTATTTTGGATTCTGATTGGTCCTGGGCAAAGGTTATCTACAAAGAATGTCAAAATGTATTAATTATACTTTACTAGTCTATGTGTGATTTAGAATGCAGACACGGCGCATACCACTCCGAATTCAGGTTTGATGTCTGTCACGTTGCCTTTAGCATCCCATCGAACTGTCAATTGGCCAAAGGTGCCTCTCTTCCTCTCTACAATAAGGTTTATTTGATAATCTTGCATCAATTCTTCAACTTCCATTGACTGGGCGTTCTAAGCCATAGATAAAAATAAAAAACATGACCTTTATAATCAACAACAACTGAATTATTATTGTGCTTTTGTTTCACACTTACAGAGGGGAAACCAATGACTCCATGGGCATCATCATTGGTTGGGACAAAGACAGTCACCTGACCACCAAATCCAATTTCTGCTCCACCTTTTGGATTTTTCAGAATGACATAAAAGTACTCCTCCACTTCTGGGATGTCATCGTCAATAACATTTACGGCTATCTCCAACTCACTGACACCTGGTGCAAAGAGCAACTCCCCAAAGCTAATAAAAGAACACAAGAAAAAGACATGTTAGATGTCCATATTACGTATAGCTGGGTTACTGATGCGCGTGTCAGTACCTGGGGATAAAGTCAGAGCGGATGGAAACAGAAGTCTGTTCATAAACCCTAGAGCGGCTGTCTTCCGCTGAAAAGAGAAGAGTCTTGGTGCTGTTCAGAGATGGCACCATAAGAGAGAGAAAGCTGTTGGCTGAAGGGGCCTTGAGGATTCTTGTGAACAGGCTGACGTCCGACCACCAGGCATAGAGGGACGAGCCATTGCTTCCAGATAGGAGTACATACACTGAAAGAAAGGTGCTTTTAAATATAAGATCTGTGTAAACTAAAGAAAATATTTGATTAACTCACCTGCTCCTGAAGCATCGCTGTAGGCATGTACTGAGGTGACGTCAGGGTGGGGGATAGACTGAAGGAACTTGACTCTCTGCCCAGGGCTGAACACCTCACATGATGCAGTCGGATCTGTGCAAAGATACACACATGTACTTCTACGTCAAAATAACATGTTTACGTAAAGCAAGGACTGCCTGACACACCCAAACCGTACAAATTACAACCTTTGTGGTTCTGCTCTCTTCTACACTGTGGCCTTTTCCAGGAAATCTACAAGTGTTGCCCAATAACCTCACTGTGCTCTTTGTTTCTGTCAGACTAAATACAGCATCAACAGTTCAAGCCAATTATAAAATTAAATACACAAATGATTTGAATGTTTTGTTTCTGAATATTACCATTTGATGTATTTTAATTAACGGCCTTTTTGTCTTAGAGATCACTAATACGATGTTAACAGATGCATATACTTTTAAATATACCTCTTTTTAGGACAAGAAGAAGAGTGCCGTTTGTCCTCGTCTGGACCTGCTCCACCTGGGTTCCTCTTCCAGTCAGTGGGAGGGGCTGTGGATCCTGAAACCTGCCTTTGGCCCATGTAAGGATGAGGCAGCTGTCAGTCTCCCGGTCGATGCACACAAAGAGGTGCATTTGACCCGCTTCTGCAAATGTGGTGACACTGACAACGTCCTGCTGAAAGTCTAGTGTTTGCAAAAGAGACAAGGTACCCTCACTCCAAACAAAAACCTGTAAAAAGGGTAAAATATGAACATTTAAAAACATACATTTTAATGTTATTTTGTCAGAGCCATATACCTGACTGGATGCTATCAAAACATGTCTGCCATCAATGAAAACGTGCTTAATCGCAGATGCTTCAATGCCAACAGTTTGCTCCTAAGAGATAGATTTAATGAATAACAGGTAAACACAATACAATTCAATTTATTCTTGTATAGCCCTAAATCACAACAGTAGTTATCTCAGAGGACTTAACAAAACCGTTGAATTCGCCAACGCAGATCCGATCATCAACAGTTCAACACAAGATATGCAACAATAAAAATCCATACAGCCAATGTCCAATGAAATAAATTAATAAGACAATAAAAGCTTTCACTTACCAATGTTATGTTCAGGTCATGTTGTAGTTTGAAGATGCTCAGATTTGCAGCAGGACTGAAAGGAGGCCCGCTGTGTGTGACCCCAATGAAGGTGGAGCCATTGTGCGCAAAGCCAACACAAGAATTTGGATTCTGAATCTTAACAGACTGGCCAACAAGGGGACAACAAGAATATTAAAACATACCGACATTTAAAATATGCATGAACATGTTTCTATACCATAATAGGCACAAAAACACCCTGCCATTGGTAGAGAGTGGCCAGAGTGTGTGATGATCCAATAGCTGGGTTCATGTCGAGCCTCATAATGAGAGGGCTTTGGTCATGGGGAACAGAGCACCAAGCTGCAGTGGAGTGGTCTTCAAAACTCTGATACACACCAAAGATTTGGAAGGGACCAGCTATACTCAAAAGCAGATTACATTGAGAGAACATAGACGGTTTTAATGTCTAAGTGAGAAGCAGGAACTTTACCTGATGTTACAGCAGTGGCCGATTTAGCCTCCCATTCTACACTGACAGCTGAATCAAGACCATTACTGCGAGAGACCGTGAGAAAAACGGTCTTGCCTTCTTCAGCCGTCACTTCAGTTCTTGTTCTGTTCAGGGAAAAGATATATATGTGAAAGATATGTATGTAGTATAGCATGAACATCCTGCTTTTTCAAGGATTCGCAAAGAGCCTCACCTGTTTAAAGTTGGCCCGATTCGAAATAAACCGGATGGTGCAATGTTCTCTAATATGGTGATGGTAATTTCAAGTTGATTTCCAAGTCTCGCACCTCCAGTTGGACTTGACAAAACCACCAGAAAGGTTTCATTTGCCTCTGGTTCGGCATCCAAAACTGACAAGATTTCTAGTTTCTACAACAAAGATATCAATGAATGTAAATAACAGTGATATTTACATTCAGTGATAATGGGGTAAATGTATTCATAACTAATGTCTTCAACCTTGAATCTCACTCCTTCTTCCATCACCACCAGCCCTTGTGCTGGGCTCAGGTCACTGTCCGCCAGGCTCCCGTTGGCGTCAAAGATGGTAAACTGCACGCTCACAGTGCCGTATAGACCTTCCTCAGGGTTCCGTACGACATACAGAGTGGCCGTGCTTTCACCCAGTCCAGCTGCTGCAGTCGGCTCTTTTAAAACAAAGGGCTCACTGGAGTTGAAGGAAATAATACCATTTCCATCGTCACTTGCCAGGATGTTCACAGTGGCTATAAGAAGAAGAATATTGTTTATGAGACAGCATAATTGTGTGTTCTTGGTGCATGTTAAAAGCTGTACCTGTTGTATTTGTGCCTAAGACCATCTCTTGGGAAGGCTGAGAAAGTATCAACTGAAAACGTTCAGCTCTCTCAGGTATATCGTCGTCGTTGATCTGCACTTCAACAAGTTTCAATCTTTCGCCATCAACAAAGTGGAGCATCTGTGGATGATGGAGTTAAATTACGGTTTAGAGAGAACATCCTAAAAAATAATAATTTGAACGTGTTCATACAGTTTCGCTGATGTTGTAGTCCAATCCCAATTGAGCCTCTAAATTCTGAGCGGTAATGATCAGTGACACATTTCCATAAGTTCCTTTGTACCTGTATGCTACCAAAGTCAACGACCCAATTGTTTCGTTGACCTCATATCTGTGGAAATACACATTTATAAATCACGTAAAATCAATACAAGAATGAAATACAACCTTGTGATTATCCTTACATTGTATTTGTCCATTCAATGACACCTCTAATACCATCATTAGCAGTAATGATGATCTCAGCCACCAAACCAGCAGCATCTGAAGAAAAATACATGAATTATAAATGATCATGTGTACATATGAGTTCAGACAGCCGGAGAGAGAGAGTGAGAGAAATAAGCAAATGAATGAAGCCAAGAAGGATCTCGTATGGGCGGAGAGGCTTTAGGATGGACTGATTTATTACCTTCTAAAAGTCTTTGCTCTATGGCTTAGGCTCTGGGAGGCCATCTACGGGGTTTGCTTGGCTTGATTTCTACACCACACAGCGCTACTCGGCTACCACCAAATCCCTGTGCTTCCTCAATCATGGAAAGCATCAATGTGGCGTTCCAAGCCACAAAATGACTGTTACCAAAAGAGAGCTGCGTATTTACTCAGTGTCTCCAGGCAGTGTGCCCTCAGTGTGCTGGGAGGCTCCAACATGTATTATGTCAACTCACCACTTTCTAAAATTGTGCAAAAACAGAAGATGTTCCCAAAAACCTCATGGCAATAGTGAGTCTCAAAAGCAGCACTATAGTTGCATCTACTGCAATTTGCTATTTAAAAAAGGCTGATGAGCGAATAGGCTGGTGTTTTACCTGATAATGTGCAATGTACAATCACTAGTAATTTTAAAAGACAAATAGATAATGGCATTAATTCATAACAACACGTATAAACAATTATTGGGTTAGGGTTAAGCCAAGAATATGTAACATGTTGTAATATTAAAAATGTAGCCGTACCAAGTTGGGGATTTGTAGCAAGAGTTGTGATAAGTACGGCAGATGTTACATTAACCAAGAAAAACTCTCTTATTTCTGGAATATTGTCCTGAAAATGTAACAGAGGTGGAGTCATTATTTTATATGTATGTGATTGTATATATAGAAATAACATGAAAGGCTTACATCAAGCACTGTGACAGGAATAGCAACAGATGTTTCCCCATCTGGAAGGATGACAAAACCACTTTCAGCAATAAAATCTTCTCCAGGCTCGGCAAGATTTCCCTCGACAAGGGACAGGTTCTGAAGAGATCCTCTCATAACTTCATATGAAATGTTCACAGCTCCTGAACAAAACATGTCTTTATAGAGAGTGTATGAAAAGGCCTAAACTAAAATCCTCCTGTAAGCCAACCTGATGCACCAAATTCTCTGTTGATGAAGATGTTTACAATCTTGTTATGCTCCTCTGTGGTCACTCTCTGTGATGACGGAGCAATGGTTAACATGCCAAAGGGTTCATCACTAGTGTCCACTGTAATCACGGCCTCTCTGCCTTCAGCATCTACAGCAGCATGGCCGGTCACCCCGACTCCTGTGCACCAGATACACAAGATTATCATCGATCATTGTTACACGTGTCAGAAACAAGCAGTGGAGGTTTTACCATAGGTGTTAATATCCGATAATACTACTGTGTATTCATCTTTGTTTTCAGGAGCAGCGTCATCCAGAAGATCCACAACTATTGTGGTGTTCAGCTGTCCCTAAAGAATCACATTGGATTATATTATCAAGCTAAATACATTCATAAATTGCATGAATAAACTGTCACTTAAATACTAGGTCCAAACTTCTATTAGACTACTGAACTTGAACACTCTATAACTTGTTGGTAATGTGAACTTTTGTGTGTTTGAGTTTGTATGTTTGTATTGTGTTCATCTATTCGTATGGGCTTCACTTCATATCACTTATGTTATTAATTGCCTGTGATTGTATGCCCTATGCTACTATGAAAATGAATTACCCTTAATGGGATAAATACAGTAGAGATAAAAGAAGAAACAAGTAGATAAAAAAAGAAAAAGAATTTGAACAACTTCTAAAAACATGTTACCTGTGAAAAGAAAAGTCTTCCTGATGTTTGTGTGAAGGTTTGCCTCACTCTCGGCCCAGTTATAGTCCAAACCACGGTGACATTTCCAAATCCTGGAGCTGTTCTCTCCAACAGCAAAGTCACGGTCTGGCCTGTTTTGCAAATGTGCATTTTAATCAACTGCATGCATATCGAGGATATAAAAGACTAAGAAGAATCTTACCCTCTCTCGCAACAACAGACTGCGAATCTGGATGAAATCGGATTACCCCAGCTGCATAATCGTTGGCCAATATCACAATAGTTACAGAGTCAGAGTTGGGCATTATTCGACTTCCTCCTTTTGCATTAATGAGACCAATCATGATGACTTCACTGTCTTCTGGTTTATCATCATCCTTGATTTGAACTACTACGGTCTTCTTCAAATCCCCTGTGGTCAAAATAATATTAGCAATAAAAACATTATTCATTGAAACATCTCAGAAACTTACCATCAAAAACTAGAGTGCCTCCAGAACCAGTGAAATCTTCATCTGCTGTAGCTGTGCCTCCGACTACTCTCCACTCGACACTGACCGTTCCCATGTTTCCCCCACGTCTCTCAATCACCAAAGGCACCTCCGACATCGCCTCCTCTGTCACCTCCAGGAAGCGCTCCTCATTAGCGGCTCCAGGACGAACCATGTACAGTACAAAAACACCAAAGGCATCTCCATTCATCCCAATAATCACTTCAGCTTTGTCCGGCTGTCCAACTGACGGCAAGTTTTGTGGTGCTGCGATGACATTCACCAACTGAACCTGCAGATTTGATATGCACATAGAAAATGGCATTATTTTCAAGATTTGACATTCAAATTCAACTACAGGGTTACACATAACACACATAAACTACCTTTAATATCTGAATAGAAAATCTCTCATCCATTTCTGCCTTCTTGTCAGTCAGTATTGGCACAGTAAGATTGGTCACCTCAGCTCGATCCTCCAAATAAGCACTTTGATTGGCCACCGGGGTGTAGTCGGATTCAGGCTCTGCTCGACCACTGAACAATACAGCAGCAGCGGTGACATTTTTCACATAAGTCACAAACTGGGGATTTGGTGTGAGGATTTCAGCCGCTGCGGTCACCCATACGCATGATGGAGATGCAGACGATGTGGAGAAAGCATGGCATGCGGGCTCCCTCAGGCACAGCGCTGCACAGGCACTGACTGGGTCTCCTTGGCCGGTTACATTGGCTGCTCTTTGAGATAAGCTGGACACAACTCCTGCTTTTGGTGCTTCATAGTAAACCAGAAGGTCTTGGCCACGGTCTTGAGCCGAGCCGACCAAATCAGTCTCAAATGTGCTGTATGTTATTTCCAAACGACCGAAATGTCCGCCACTGAAAGGCATGAAATGAATGGTAAAAATCTGAGCACAACCTTAAAAAACAAAACAAAAAAGGGGAACTGATGATGACTTTACCTCCTGCGTACAGCAATGTTCGCTCTATAAGAACCCTCCAATGGCTCTTGAACAAGGTAAACAGACTGATCGAAACGTACTGTCCCGTAAGGATTATCGTTGGCAGGAACTACGATATTCACAGACTTATTGGCACCAATCCTCCCTCCATTACTGGCACTGGTAAGCTCCAGTTTTATTATCTAGAAAACAAATGCCTTATTATTATAATTTGAATGGGTGTGAATGAGGCTGGGACAGTCTTTAGTCTATACCTCTGCAACTTCTGGCACATCATCAGGCAAAACTTCCACTTTTAGTAACTTTAGCGTGTCTCCTGGAGCAAAACTCACAAAACCTGAAGTGGGTCGGATGTCTCCATTTGCTAGTTGACCATTTACTGTTGCCTGCCATTGGATTACAACAGTCCCTGTAAGCCCAGCGCTACGGACTACAGATAATGTAACTTCAGTCGAGTTTGAAACAGGCTCTTCAATTGTGAGTGGATCAGCCCGGAAAACTACAAACAAAACACAATGCTTGTAAGTAATACAGAAAACATTTGAAATTTGCTACAGTAGGACTTACCAAAGACACCAAAAGGATCATCAGAAGGCAATATGGTAACAGTAGCCCGAGTGAGTGGGCCGAGAACAGCACCTCCAGTGGTCACATTTTTGAGCACAACATGAAAGGTCTCCTCGATCTCAGGCTCATTGTCATCAATGATAAGTATGGGGATATATTTACTGGATTCATCCTCAAGTAGGAGTACATCAGTTGAGGCCACAATGTAGTCATTTTCTGAAAGATTAGAATTTACACTGATAAATGTTTTGGCCTCATAAGATGAACACTGCCAACCTGATTCCACCTGTCATTCTTGCATCGTTGCAATATCCTTATCTCATTCCAGAATGTGCAATATACTGCTGCTAATGTACAGATGTAAACATACTGCTGCTAATGTACAGATGTAAACATACTGCTGCTAATGTACAGATGTAAACATACTGCTGCTAATGTACAGATGTAAACATACTGCTGCTAATGTACAGATGTAAACATACTGCTGCTAATGTACAGATGTAAACATACTACTGCTAATGTACAGATGTAAACATACTGCTGCTAATGTACAGATGTAAACATACTGCTGCTAATGTGCAGATGTAAACATACTGCTGCTAATGTACAGATGTAAACATACTGCTGCTAATGTGCAGATGTAAACATACTGCTGCTAATGTGCAGATGTAAACATACTGCTGCTAATGTATAGATGCTAAAATATAACTACACTTTACTTGCAATAGAATACACAGTACTTTATACTTGCCTCTTATTTTGTCAAGTGTTAAATTTTTACATCTATTATTACTTTCAAGATAGAAATGTTATACTTATTATTGATGCTAGAGTTAGAGATTTTGTTTTATTTGAATTAGTATAGCTATTGTTCACTCAACGTGTGCCGTGTGCTCCTCTTTCCTACTGTTCTATAACTTGTTCAGATTCAGATTCAGATTCATTTATTTGCCATTTGCAGTAAAACCACATTGGAAAAACTGTGCAAGACTACCCCAGTGTGCACCAGACACACACCAGAGCTCTTGTGATGCAACACTGAAATTTCCCCACAGTGGGACAAATAAAGGATCTCTTAATCTTAATAAGATAAGATAAACTGTATCTATAGAATCACTCAGGGCCATACAAGGAAGTGTGCAAAATGTTAAAAGGCCCAAATATAGTCTCTTTAGTGCAAGTTCTACAATGCACAATAAAATTTAAAGTGACTATAGCAGTGCGAGTTTTTGATCAATGGTATATGACTCCTGACTAATTGTTTTGTGTATTTTGAGGCACTTACTGATATTAGCGGTGCCATCCAACACATCAAACTTCACAGAGACACTTCCAAACATCCCTCCTGTTCGAGTGACTTTCATAAAGGGTCCATTAGAATCTTCTGGTATGGTGATGGTGGGAAAGGTCAACTGGAGGATTGCAGAACCGTCATCACTTGTTTCAATGATGACCTGGGACACGATGCTTGAGATGGCTCCGAGAGAAGGTGAATTTGAAACTGGTGGTACATAAACCATATTCAAAACTATAAAGATATGTTGAGTTGAGAAAATATATGTGATAAAGAAATTACGTTACCAGTTCTTTCTTGTGGGCTTTTGATTAGCTGAACCCTTATCAGCTTCACAAACACTGACTCGTTTCTTTCAGCTACATCATCATCGAGTATGTGTAATGTAATATTTGCTTCAGTCTGATTGGCCAGAAACACGACTGAACCAAAAAGAGGAACAAAGTCTTGCCCTTCAGTAGCGCGTCCAACTCTCTGGGTTGCAAACGGGGCTGGTTCGGCTTCAGTCAATGTTCCGAACGTAACATTCACCTGCATTTATAGAAATGGTGAGATGCACTTAAAAAAACCATGAACGAATAAGAAAATTTGACTTTAGAACGATTACCTCTCCCATTAATCCTTTTTGTCTGAGGATTGTAAAGTCCACAGTGGAGTCAGCTTCAGAGATCCAGATGGGCTTTGTGGCGTTGGCAAATACAAACATACCAAATGGATTATCGCTGGCCAAAATAGATAAAGTGGCAGATGTCTGAAAACCCAGCCGCCCCGCAGAAACGTTGACCAGAGAAACGGTGAAACTTGCGTCCAGTTCTGGAACCTCATCCTGAGCAATGAGGATTGTAATGTTCTTTGATGTCTGACCCACAGCAAAAGTAAGATTTCCAAATCTGTTAACAACTTCTCCTTCAGAGCTAGGGTCAACTTCCCAGTAAACAGTGATGTTAGAGAGATCCCCAAATGAGCGGTCAACCTAATAGAGAAAACAGAGCGAAAAGTTTAGAATTTATGCATCTATACATTTATACATTTGGGATTTTGGCTCACCTGAAGAAAAACGGTATTTTGTCCATCCTCAGGTTCTGTTCCGATTACATAGAGAGAATTTGGGCTAAAATCAAAAACCCCATGGGCATTGTCTGAGGCTGCAATTGTGACAGTGAGGCGGGAGGCAACACCGAGGCTGGCTAAAAACACAATATTATCAAATTAAAACCATACAAAGAAAACAGAATCAGAATGTATTTCAATGTAAATAGAAGGAATAAAACAAAAATGTAGGAACTGGAATCAACTAGATCAATTCTTGAGGGCTGCAAAAAATGTCACAATATTTACTTTTCCCACATCTCTCAAAGTGGGAACTGAGCAATGCAAATGTCACACACAACATAATGTGTTTGAGGTGCTCATACACATTATCAAAACTAATCTCACCCAAAAGAAGGCAAATAGGTATATTGGTGAATACGTACATTCTTCTTTAAATAATTGTTTTATTTTTCTCTGTTGTAGCTAATCATACTAAAACATTTTGTTGGATGTGGCATTAGGGAGTAAGTAATCACAAAAGCATTGTAAAAGCAGTAAAATAGCACACGCAGGGAAGACTTACCGTGATGAAGATGGGATGGAAGAAGAAAGTCAAAGTCACTTTCTCCACTACCACTCTCTTCACTAAGCAGAAACTGATCCACTGATGGATCACGCACAGGATCACATAAGTGTCAGCGCAGGGAAGGGCCACACAAGAGGAACAAGGACCAAAGCAGCAGAGGGAGGCAAGTGGAAAGCAGGCAGCACAGTATATTGATCACAGCAAACACACACACACACACACCATATGGGAAAACACAGGGTCACTAACAAGTACCAATATTCAGTCTACTTTCTTAACATTGGTACTCACCTCCAACTGCATCAAAAAGCTCCACTCTGAACACTTTCTCAAGCTCAGGAGCAATATTATCTATAATGGTGACGTTAATAAACTTCAATCTTTCCCCAGGAAGGAAGTCCAAAAGACCATCTGAATCCTGTAGGGGAAGTGTGTATAAATACAAATATAAAGCACTATCTACTCAAATGTGTATTGTAAACAACACTACCTATTATAATAATATATATTTAGAATTCCAACCTCATAGTCCTCAGGGCTGGAAGCTGTAAAGGGGATAGTTCTGTAGCTGACCATGACCCTGCCCAAAAGGCCTTGAGCTCTGACCACTGGCAAATGGACCACTCCGTCTTCCTCGTTCACAGTGATGTGAGCTGGCTCTGTTGCTGCAGGAATCAAACCATCTCCAGGAATAGTCGGTTCAAACTGCAAAAGGCCTTTAAATGTGTGTTAAAGTCAGATTAAAAATTCACAAAAAGAGGCAAGAGATATTTTAAACTACTGTAGTACCATAGGGGTAGTCATTTGCTACCACGCTGACGCTGGTGGTGGAATTATTGGGGTCAATGCTGGCACCACTAGTTGGGGTAGATCCTGGTTTCCCATCACCGGACTCAGCAGATACCAGGTTTATTTTAAAGGTCTCTATCAACTCTGGGAGATTATCATCAAAAACCAGTAAATTCAGTGCCTGAAGAAAAAAATGTCATGCAGTCAACATTTGTTGCAATTTACACCAGATGGACAATAAAATAGTTGAAACACAGACTTACCTCGAAGCTCTGTCCTGGTGCAAAACGCACAGTACCAGTTGCATTGACAAAGTCTTGATGAGCTGGAGTATTGTCTGGGCTCTCAATTTGGGTAACAGTGTAATTGATGTAAACAAAGTCTAGAGATCCATATAAACGCTCAATTATACAAGATATAGTGGACCCCTCCTCTGTGACCTGTCAAAGGACAAAAATAATGTTGTCAATCTACTGTAGACAATCATGCACAAAGCACAATCCATTATCCTCCAGGGTATAAATATTTAGAAATCCTCCAGTTCTGATGGAATGTCATCCCCAGGCTCTGCCACCTGTTGTGCTACTTGAACAGGCAACAAGATCTCCTTGTCAGTGTTGGAACTCTACATCCACAACTACAGGAATGCCCTGAGTGTCAGGGTTGCAGCCTCACCATCTGTCGCTGCACCTGAGAGGGGCTAAGATGGAAGCATGTGTATCCAATCCAACTAAAAAGGGGCAGCCTGCTGCCTCTTCAGCCAGGCATGGCAACTGATAAAATATGCATTAGGACAGGGATGGCCCAACCACTGGGTTTACATTACATGTGTTCTGTCTATTCTCATGACAGACATGTGGCGGAACTTACATTAGGAGTACAGGAACCGGTGAATCTAAAGAGCCCATTTGCAAAGTCACTTTTCATCACTCTCAGAATGGCTGTGGGTTTGGGGTGTGGCAGGCGAGCTCCTCCGTGCACAGCAATGAGCTGCAGATAGAAAACCTCCTCACCCTCCACCTCAGGGTCATCCCTGACCTCTACCACAAATGATTTTTCATTCTCATCTTGGCGGTAGCGCAAGTAACCAGAGATCATCCTGAGGTCCGTTTTAGCAGGCTGGTTGTGGAGCTCATGGATGTGACTGCGGTTCAGTTTAGATCCATAAAGGCGAACATCTTGCAGAACCCCAGTGAAACGCTGCTGTCCATTAGGATCTGAACCAACGAACATGGGAGCTGGATCTGTGTCAAACAAGGAAAAAAGCACAATAGAATACCTTTATACATACATTACCAACAATATGCCTATTTGTGCTTATTTGTGTTCTTACCATCCACAATGCCCTCTCCTTTAATGCTCTTTAATCCTCCAGGTATAGAGCTCCCATCAAGTAGAAACTCAATAAGGCCGTCGTCTACTATTATAACCACGTGGATCCACATCTTTTCCTCTAAAAACTTCTCAGCGGAGGCCTGGGCCACTTGAGTTTTGTTGGAGCCAGTCGCCGTGTAGTACAGCATAACGGTAACATGAGAGTCGTTAGTCTGAACTCTGACCCCATAACACAGTGTCCCATTTGCATATCCTTTAGAAATTATGAAACCATCTGTATCTGCTTTAGGGTTCAGCCAAGCAGAAAACGTGAAGTTGCCCAGAGGAGCTGGGCTGTCTTCAGGAGAGACCACCCCATAAGCTCCAGGACCTCCAGAGAAGAACCGTGCGTCTGTGCCCGAGTGGTGTCTCCGCTCAAAAGGCCGAAGCTCCACTGCATCGGGGAAAGAGGCTTGAAGGAGCAGGTCATCCATCTGAGGGAGACCTTCAGGAAAGTGTCCAGAAACAATCTCCCAGGCAACACGCACGTCCCCGAAAGTGCCCTGCTGCCGTAAGATCGTAAAAGAAGCAACATCTGCCATATCAGTCTCTGACAGCACATCTTCTGCTACTTCCTGGTCCAAGTTGTCTTCAGCGATTGCAAAGACACCAAATGGGTCATCATTGAGGGGAATGAGAACTGTTGCATTCAAAGTAGAGATATCTAACTGTGCGGCACCCCCTACAGAACCAGAAATGGTGTTAAAAATGTAAAAACAAAAATACATACATAATCAATCTATGTTCATACCCGTGATATTGACAAGTCTGAGAACGTAAAACTCATCCATTTCTGGCAGCTTGTCTGAAATGGCTTCCAAGATAATAGCTTTTCTCTTCTCGTGTGAGGTGAAAGTTATTGTGCCAGAAGTGTTTGTAAACTCCTGTCTTTCCTCCAGCTGAGTTACTGAGTCATTGCTATACAACTGCCAGAAGATTGTAACATTACCGAAGATTCCCCTGGAACGCAGAACTCTGGAATAGACAAAAGTATGATGTAACTTACTCGGTTGACCAAAGTGCATTTACTCAAGTAATTAAAACAAAATCCTACTCAAAGCTATTTGTTCCACCCTCCACAACAGGTTTTGAGAGAGGATCCAGCAAAAATATCCCATTGGCGTCGTCATTGGCCGCGATGACGACAGTAGCTGTGTCTGCTCCATGCACAACAGCATCACCTGTTTACAGATGGAAACTATGGATTAAGTGCATTGTACATAAATCAAAGATGGGGAACATACGTTTCAAATCATAAAAAAATCAAAATTAATGTAATAAAATCTACCTAATAAATTAATCTAACTCTCAAAGTAGTTTGGTTCTATCACTAATCAAACTGTTCACATGCATAGATTATTGGCCTCACATCAGATCAGCTTTTCTGACAGAAAAGTGAAAAAGAGAGGACCACCCTCACTCAGCCAATCAGCTCTCAGCCCATAGCGTCAATTAGTGGCACAAATCTCTTTCAAGGATGCAAAAGATAAAACATTTTCAAATAAGACAAGGACAGCATGTTATGGTCTGATTCGTTCAAAATCATTTGCATTCCAGACTCTTTTAGTTGGGACAAACAACATGTATTAAGTATAATACTTGGTGCCCAACTTTAAGTGAATTATCAATGTCCATAGATTAATTTGCACTCATATAATCTACAGTATATGACAAATGGTGCTGCCGATTGGCCAGAAAAAAAATAAACACATGTCTCCTTTTAATGCTCTAAAAAATAAACATTTGTAAAGCACATAACCCTAATAGCATCATGACTTGAACCACATTGGTCCTTGGTAACTGGCCCAGAGAATAGCAAAGCCAAGTGGTGAGTCTATACAATGTAGGTTTGTTTATTGTGGATCCCCTATTCTTCCTGCGGGTCAAAATGCTTTTAACCCTAAATAATTTCTGTCTCCATTAACTTTTCATTAACTTTCATCATCAGTTAATAGAAGCCTCTTGAATAAGGCAAAATAGCGACTCTGACCTGTAGCATTCTGCAGGATAATGTAAAAGCGCTCGTTGTCCTCTGGTATGTCGTCCTCTTTGACAAATAAAGAAATGTTCTTTTCCCGTTCACCAATCTCAAACACCAGCACGGTGTCATTGCTCATCAGCGTGAAGTCGTCAGAGGAAGCATCACCGTAGTCCACACGGATCCTGACTGAGGTGGCGTAGTCCGCTGGCCCCGCTCGGAACACAGTGAAGCTGGCTATGTCTCCTTCTTCAACTTGTACAACGACTGGCACTAAGGTGAAAGAGGGTGAATTGTCAGAGAAATTGTAACACAGAAAATGTCTATGTAGAAAAACAAATATTCAAGCATTCAATATTCTAAAAATTGATTGATAAAGTCATTGAAAGTGTTTTAAGTCTTGTCTTAAGACCCACTTTTAATCTTTAAACATCACTTGAGTTGTGTGGCCCTTTGTGTTTTTGTCTGTGTTTTTTATTTTCATGCCCTAATTTGATTTTCATTTGTTTTCTGTTTGTCTCTATGTACTTCAAAAACTCTTTATGAAATGTTATTTATTTAATGTGCTATATTAATGAAGCAGATTTGGATTTACCAGAGAAAGATATAGGGTCATCATTCTTATTAATCATGAGTTCGGCACTGAAGAACTTCCCAAGTTTAGCTCCTCCTGTGGCGTTTAACAGGTTAATAGTAAAATTCTCCAAATCTTCTGGCACCTTATGAAAGAAACACAAATGTCATGTTATACGTTAAAGTTACAAATGTTAGGAAAGAAAATTCATTAAACACATACCTCGTCAGGTACAGAAGTGAGTGAGAGGTTTTTGAGATATTCTCCTTCCATGAATGTTATGATGCCCTCAGTGGGGCTAACGTCTTTTGTTGTCGTTGGTTCAACTGACCAGGACACAGAGACCGCTCCAAAAGTGCCCTTTCTTCTAATAACTGGGTAAACCCCTGAAAGTAACAAGTAAATAATATATATACACAATTTCATTTAATTCAACAATTCAAATTCAAGCTTTGGAATTTTATACCCAAATACCTCCATGAATATTGCTGCCTCTGCTCTCATTGATGGCCATTGTTTGGTTTGGGTTGACAAATTCAATGATCCCAAAAGGGTCATCGCTCTTCAGCACTGTGACGTTGACCTGCGTTCTGTTGCCTAGGCGACTGAGCGAAGTATTGGGGCTAATAAGTACGACGGCAAAACTCTCATCAAGCTGCAGACAAAGACAAATATTATGGAAAACATATTGACTGGGAGTTGAAAATGTTTCTCACCTCTGGGATCCCATCTTTATTTGCGATCAGTCCAATAGAGTGCTCTCTTTCCCCTGGATTAAAATACAAGGGGCCAACAGAACCAGCAAACTCCGATGTGATCGCGGAAAAATTGTCCGATTGATGGAGAGAGACAACTGAATAATCCAGAAATATTTTCAACAGCAATCCATTTGTCCGGACCAAACGGAGATCCAGACTACCGCCTTCCTGAGTAAACAAAAAGCAACAAAAAAATAATAATTTGTATTTCACATAATTAGGTCGAATTCTCATATATTGCACACTTACTTCAATAATAAACGGGCCTTTTGAAGATTCAGCAAATTCAAAAACTCCTCCTGGGATGTCGTTCTCAATAATGATAATTTCTCTACTAATGAATCCAGATTTGAGAATTTGGTTTTCAACATTTGTCCTGAAACATAAAGATAAATATTTGTTTCCATAGTGCATAACTCAACTTGGGGTATTAATTTAAAGCTGGAGTATTCACTTTATTTTTATTAGTTTGTCCCAACAGAAACAGCCTAGTTTAAGTGAAACTATTATTATCAGTAATAATATTTATAAATATGTGATCTTTTATATACAGAGAGCTGATTGGCTGAGTGAGGGTGGTCTCCTCTATTAAACTGAAAAATATGATCCAAAGATGTGTCAGAGGCCAAAAATACATGCATGTGAAAACGAGTGAACCAAATAGCTAGGAACTAGTTACAGAGACAAACTTAATTTTCTGCTGTTACCCCAGCTTTAAACTGATCTGTGCATTCCTGAAATCACACTTGTCATGCTGTTAAATCCACTTTCATTAGCCTGTCAATCAAAACGCCAGGGAATAAAAAGTAGTACACACGTACACGTCACAACACAGACGCACAGAATTCCATAAGAGCACTCTGTAAGAAAACCAGTTTTTCACACCCCGCATTAAGAGCACCACTCCATCGCCTTTGCTCCATCCTCACTGCAAACACAGCTCTTGAAGTGGGTCCTTCTCAGCAAAACAAGGTCTTGATTCACACCACATAAAAGAGGCTGGTTCCCCTCAATCTGCACTTACCCAAAGTACACTGTAAAACGTGCCGCCTCCACCCTACAGAGAGCAACAAGGGGAGTAAAGGCCAGCATTCACATCCCCGCCAACAAGAGCCTTCTCCCACCAATAAAACAACAGCGAGTTGCTCTATGTGATTATGTCAAGTTTAACACCACCTGCTTATTACGGTATATAGTATTTTGGAAACATTTTTGTTGAGAATGGTCACATACATTTTGAACTAGTACTAGTTCTTTCTTCGTAGTAGTACTTTTCTTAGGGCACGACCAAGGGCACTAGGTCTAGTTCACTTTAAAGTACATGTCCCCTGATTATAGGCCGACATGTACACATCATATTTGAGATATTCTTAATTACACGTCCAATGAACACGATGTTCATAATATTTGTGTTTACATTTTCAGCTAGATTATCCAATCAGTGAGAAAAATGAGGCTCTCATTTGAATTGCCAGTTGATGAATGAGATAAAAACAAGTACTCATAGATAATACAGTTTGTCTGATCAGTAATCAGTGTTTAGGAGCTATATGTGCCACAGGCAGTGAGACTAGCAACAAAAGTGGGATTGTTACTGTCACTGCTTTATTAGACCTTTGAGTCCATATCAAATATTTTCCTCTTAGAGCTGGGTGTCCCAACTGTTTTTAATTCATTCATATATTTCTTTTGTCCCAACAGAAAGCGCTGTTTTGTGGTTTCAAATTATCTAAACTGACTTCAGTGATTTGTGGCCCAAGTGAACCAGCCATGGTCCAGTTACGGTCAACCAGACCAACAAGTGTAAATGCACCTTGTTGTAATCTTAGGACAACCCTTAAACCTGCCTCATATGGATTTGCTCTGAACAAGCTCCATGACCGTCATATTGTGAACCTCTATAAAACTATTGAATCACTTTCTACATGGGTGTCGTTCGTTAAAACCGTCATTAATTGATAGAAACTCGAAAATCATGACTTTGTTTTCATACCTATCAAGAGTGATCAGCAAAGTCTCGTTAACTTCAGGGATATCATCAGCAAAAACAGTGAAGTTGATCGACGCGTCACTTTGTCCAGATAGGAAAACCACAGTCCCATTAAAAGGTCTCAGGTCTCTGGTAGTGACATCTTCAGCGTTGGCACCGATGGGGCGGAGACTCCAAAACACCTCCGCTTTACCGTCTGTCCCATCACGCCGCAGAGGAAGACTCACCTTAAAAAGAGAAGATTACTTTATGGTCACCTTGTTCAGGTCCTTTCTTTTTCACTTTTCTGTCTGAAAAAGCTGATCAAAAGATGTGACAGAGGCCAGAACACATACAGTACATATGAAAACTAGTTAAAGAACCACACAGTCTTGAGCGCTGGTAACTATTTACATACATGTGATTGCAGAGTGGATTTTTGTGGTTTCAAAGTTCTCCAACTTTAAGACCAGTCGTAATCTCTCATTTATCAGCAGGTTGACAGTTATATTACTACCAGAGCCACTATGATCCCATATGGTTCAAAAATATGTGTTTTGAGTCCAGCAATTGGCTCTGGATCCAAGTAACTAATGACAAAGCGATGGACTTACCACAGTACTATTACTGTGCTCTGGTTCAAACACCTCCACTGTTCTGTTACTTATAAAGCCGATTTCTCCATTGGCAATATCAGATGTGATGGTCAGCGTCACATTGAGTGGTCCTTCAAATCTTGGGCTTTGAGACGAAATAGAGGGTTTGATGTCCACCAACTCCAGCGACTCCAGCTAAGAAGGAAAACAGCCTTGTTCAATGTGAAAAGACACATGAAGACTCATTCGGGAACATTATTGTGAAAAAAACGTATTAACCAATAATTAGGATTTTTATTGATCTTTTTGTTTGGTCAATTGGTGACCAAAAAACAGTAACAACTTGAATGGTCTTGAAAATCCTTTGACTAACATTTTTACATTTGTACTTCCAAAGTCCATTAGTGCTTGAAGATGGTATAATGATGATGATGTTGATTTCACTAATGAGAATCGAGAACTACTTGGAACAAAACTAAACTTAACAGCAAACAGTAAATAAGATTCTTCACAACTTTCAGTTTGTGCGATTATATTGTGACCTGAATAATCACAATATCGACTAATCAAATAATCTTAACAACCCTATTCAGGAGTAAGATGTTGTTTAAGCCATTCATCAGGAGTCTCAAAAGCAACATGCAAGATCTCAGAGCCAATGGGTCACACATGCTAATTAGACTCTTAGGACTAGAGTGCTTCCTTGGCTGGCACATGATACTTTAAACAGTTCAAAGTGTTGCTAGTCTACAAGAAATAATAAGAACATTTATAATAATAATTTCAGAGCCAATAAAGTTACCTTAATCAAAAAGTGAGCGCCATTTTGCAGAAAAGCATCATTTCGGATTGGCAAAGTCACAGGCACCTCCTGCTCACTGGAGAAGACTATGTTAAGTGGCCTGCTAACATTCAGGATCTGGTCTTTAGCTCGGACTGGGTCTACTGGACCCGCAGGAATATACAGAGCAGTGATAGACACAGAGACAGCTCCCAAAGTTCCTCCACCGCGCCGCAGGTTTAGGGACAGAAACCGTCCCTCCGGCTGGCTCTGGATCTTCTGCTCTTTGTTTAAATCAAATTGAAAAAACCCATACACGTCATCACTGTCCTGGATGTAAAGCACCATCTGGAGATAAACATAACACAGATTATGCTGAGACAGAATTAAATCCAATACTGCAGTACAGAAAAAGAGTATATAAGATACAAATCTTTCGTAAACTATGTCTCTTCATCCCTAAAGGAGAAAGTTCTTTATTTTCATCCAGTAATAATAACACATCAGACTTTCCGTCAACATACTTTGGGGTTTGCTTGTATGCTGTTTTCCTGTTACAAAGTGTGTATTATGGCAACTTAAAATATATACTATAACAAGAATAGCCATGCTCACAACCCTAATTTAAACCACACACAGGCTCCCCTTTCCTTAGCATTTTAAGAGGCTAAACCAGTAAGAGCAGAGGCCGACAGTTTAGAGACAGAGCAGAAGTGGGTGGCCTCTATGAACTGACTGGGGTTAATTAATCAGTCAAACAATCTAATCATCATGTACATAGAAACTATACTGTCTACTATGTTATAATCTTATTAGAAATATTTGAGATTGCTCTACTAAGCAGAACCCTGCTGCTCAATCTCATATCTAATTGAAGTGAATTTTAATAATAAAGAATGTGTTATCTAGAACTACAGCAAAAGTGAGAAGATATGGAATCAGTTAACTAATGAGTTGTTTGAAAAAAAAAGTTTCATTGATGTTTGTGTCTAGTTGAATGTTTCTGTACTTTAATGTGCAAACAGTTGTTTTTACATGAATGTCTGTGCAGTTATAAGAAGAGATTGAAACAAATAAATGTTTTGCAACACTTTCTTGTAATCAAAATAAGTACGGGGCAAAATTATATAATTTTGTTTTTAAATGACCAAACATTTCTACTACAGCAAATGTAACGAGTCCAGACTTTCAGTCTAAAGTTTTGATCAGGAAGACTCAAAGAATAAGGTCAACATGCACAAATGATATTTGGTAATATCTTTTTGATCAAATGTTTTGATTTATTCATAATGAATATTACTATAGAATTTGGCCACATTATTAATGTTAACATTTCATATTTTGAATCTAAAACTGATTATCCAAACAAAAAGCAGAATAAGCCTCTCTCATACGGGTTGCCAGTTTTGTCTACACTGGACAGAAAGTCTGTTTCACTCATTAATGCATCACCCACATTTAAAAGGTTCATAATATTGCACTTCCACTAAACTGACCGTGCTTCAGATTCATTCATACCTCCATTGGTTCATCCACTTCCGCGTTCCCAGTGACAGATTTTGGCAATAACTTGAACAAAAAAGCCTCTGCCTCCTCAGGTACATTGTCATCCACGATACTCAAAGGGATCACAGCTGTCACTTGTCCAGCAGCGAAATGTACAGTTCCTGAACTGGGGCCCAAATCCTCAGACACAGGAATGGTCGAGCTGGAGTTTCTGCTTATGGTCCAGTTGACCGAGACATTACCAAAGCTTCCCCCGTTTCTCACTATGACAATCCCCTCAAACCTAAATAATAACCAAAAAACAAGAAGAATATTAGTGGACATAACAGATCATATGAAATGTTCCAAGTGTTTGTTTCCTTCACCTCGATATCGAGTCTTCATCGATGATAAGTGGTTGTATCATGACACCACTGCTGAGCGACAACACTCCAAAAGCTTTGTCATTCGGTTCAATAGTGACGTGCACTTCAGAGGGTGACACTAATACTGCATCTCCCCGGATAGTATCTTTCAACAGTTTAATGTAGAAGGATTCAGCAATTTCTGGATCTGTATCATCGCTAATATTGAAGAAAAGACTAGTTTTGTTGACAAATGGTGCAAATGTCACAGTTCTTAAAGGCTGCAGATCAATGAAGTCCAGCCCCAGCGTAGCACCACCTTGTACTACCATGTAATCAATAGAAACCTGTGGATAAATGGGTTGTTTAGGTAAATACAATGTGATAAAGAGATTTGTTCACGTATAACTGCCACCTCTGAGTCAAAGGAGCCAACAAGTGTGTCCAGTTCACTCATCTGCCCGCGTGTGACGTTGAGGGCGATGACTCCAGCCGACTCTGGGACGGTCAAAAAGGTTTGTGTGAAACGCAATGGACTGTCATTACGCAGAATCCTCAGCTGGACACTGTTAGCGGCACCCAGCAGAGCGCCTCCTGCCACGTTTGTGAGCGTGACCATAAACACCTCGTCATCCTCGGGGTCCTAAAACAGAAAAAAGAACAGTGTAAACATTCAGAATAGTTTCACTTTGAATGTGGCTTGTTCTGTACCAGATCATCTTTAATGTTGATGCTGAACTGCGCAGAGGACTGTCCCACTGGGATGGTGATGTTTCCATGGTCTGGACTGAGGTCGTCTCTGGCATTTGAGGTGATTGTGACAGCGATCACCTCAAATGAAAGCGTCACAGTGCCATAAGTTCCCTTTTGTCGCAACAGAGTCAAAGGCACACTGACATTTCTCCCTCTGGGTTCAGCAACCACTAATTCCTCTGTCTGAGGACAATATGAGGTGCAAGCAATTATAAACATAGTTGGACATTGTACAGTACTTTGCATAATCATGAGTGATTTTTGACTGGCTTACAGAGTTAAAGGATATTATTCCAAAGGCATTGTCATTAGAGAGAATGGTAATTGTAGCTTTATTAGGTTGTCCGATTGTAACACCATTAGAAGAGTCCTGTAAACAAAAATTGTAATATCATAATTACTTTTAAAAACATTACAAAGCTACACACTAATATCTGAAGTGTTCTGGCCTGAAGAACATTTGTGCATTCCCACAGAGGAGCCCTGATGGGACCGGACAAAGACAGGAAGTACTGGTCACAGTCCAGTTATTTGTCAAGTGCACCTCTCAGTGGGACTCCACTTGAAGTTGGGCTGTGTTCTATTCAGTGGCACTTTTCTCCTGAAGCACTTTGTGACTGCAACAGGCCCATCGTAGCACGTTACAGTCGTACTTGTTTTAGCGGTTTTCAAATGTATTTCGAATACACGTCCAACAAACATTCATAGCTTTCCAGCGTTTGTACAGTGTGACGTGCCATCAGGTGTCATTCTATCTTCACACTGTCTGGAGGAAGCTTTTGCTCATAGGTTTGTGATCATGTAAATACAGTAGATAGATTAGATTTCATTCTGTAAGCAACTAAACACAGGGCTACCGAGAAATATTCACTACATTCATGAAATACATTTATAATCATACAAAGAAACACATTGTCTATTTATTCCGATGTTTTGAAGTGCAGCACTCTTTGAAGCCAAGAACATGAGCTCTGTTGAAAAGAATCATACATTCATCCATCAACCTTGACAGCTAAATACTACAAGCCATGGAGATTGTTTATGAGTGTTAGGAATTTTTGGTTGTTATGGAAACACCACAAAAACGTGAGAAAGACAAACAATGTATCTGTCGAAAATGCCAACACCACACAACTGCAGCTGGTGCAGAGGACCAGCGCACACTCAGTCTCTCCTCTGTCTAAGGCAAAATGAGCCCAATGAATGATGTCAAGGAACCTCACCTGGATTTCAAGAGTAAATGTAAATGTCTCATCTGCTTCAGGGAGGTCATCATTTTTCACAGAAATAAAGATGATTTTTCTGTATTCATTGGCCGTCAGAATTACTGGACGCACTGGGTCTATAAAATCCCCTGTATCTTCTCCCTCCAGCTACAAGATAGAAACAAAGAAGGACATTTACACACAACATATATGATAAAAATGTGATCATTAGGTTGAGTACTAAATGGTCATACCCGGACTAAAGCGGTCACATTGATGGGATCCCCCTCCTTTCCTACAGTGAGTCGAATAACACTGTCTGAACTCTCATTGACCACCTTCACCGTCTCCTCCAGGAACTTGAGAGTGGCAGATGCTGATGTGGGGTCAGGGATGGACAGAGCCAGGATCAGTCCAGAAAGCAAAAGGACAGGAAGCATTCCTATGACAACAAAGACTGTTAATCAAAACTGGCGCAGCACACTCATGTCAATGTAAGCTACGTACAAGGTACTGTGGCAGATTATTCTTTTGATTCATCGATTAGTTGTTTAGATCCATATTGTTACAGATTTGACCAAAACAAAGCTCCAGTGATGAACTTCATAGATAGATATGTTTTATAAAAAATGCTATGTAATATAAAGAAAACATTTTTTTATTTCGGTTTGCAGTTATTATATATTTATCAGAGTCATCAAACCTCTTCTCAGCAGGTTCTAAATATTAGTTTACAACTATTTCAATAATCAATTAATGGATTAACTTTTTATTTAATATTGTTTTTTTGGTTTTCAAGACATGTTAATGTCTTATCAACCAAGCCGAGCACTGCGCATCGCAAAACACCAGACGTCTGGTGGTCCCTAAGGTTTCAAAAAGCACTGTCGGTGGCAGAGCATTTAGCTACCAAGCTCCTCTACTGTGGAATCAGCTTCCCACGCACGTTAAGGAAGCAGACACGGTCTCTACATTTAAGGCCAGGCTTAAAACAATCTTTTTCAACTTAGCATTTGGTTAGGTTGTTTGTCCGGTCAGGTTTCGTCCGGTCTTGGAGTCTAAGTATATGGGACCCGGTCTGCTGCATCTTCAACCCTACGTTCTAGGCTAGGCTAAACCAGTCCTCTTTAGTTAGCATATGGCTAGGAAGGTAAGACTCAGGGAAGGTTAAACTCCTCGACTGTCAATCAAGCTGCATAGGGAGTCAGTTTGCTGGGAGAAGTATGGTAACTTGAGCACTATCCTCTCCTCCTTCCTACTTTATCTGTTTAGCATTTTTAGGATTTTGACTGTAGATTGTTCATCGCTATTCACCCGTTGTCCCATTGTCTGTTCCATGGTAGTTATTGTATTTGAACTGTTTTTAAAATGCACTTTTTACTTGTATGTAAGGCGACCTTGAGTGTCAAGAAAGGCGCCTAAGAAATAAAATGTATTAATATTATTATTATGGTACGATGACGGGATCTCTGAGCCTGGCCTCCTCCATCTACACCTGCGGACTGCCCTGCCCGACCCGCCTGGGAGTCCTTCAGTCCTGCACCGGACCTGTCCACGTTCAACGGCCACTGGTCCACGTTCTGTATCTTAGGACCTGGATCTATAGCCCGTCCGCCCGTGGGAGCGGACCCCTTACTCAACTCACTTTTTTCCCACTGTTTTTTTTATTTTTTTGAGTTTTTCCTTGCCAATGCAGGAGGGTCTGTTGTACAATTAGTGTCCAACTAAAAGGATGTGATGATGATCCAGGACACTTTAACATTCTACAACATTTTTTAACATGTGTTCTATATTCTTTGTAAATAGTAACTGTAACTCTATTTTAAATTTAAATGTATTCCTTAGAAGGGTTTTTTATTCTTTATTTCTTATTATCTCTCTGACTGTTGCACTGAGCCAAAGCAATTTCCAAGTCTGTGACTTCCTGTTACCTACGAGGCAATACAAATTATTCTGATTCTGATTTGTGTTTTAGCTGTTGATTCTCTGATCTGTGTTGGTTATTTCAATGGTTTTGGTAAGTCCTCTGAAATGACTTCCGTTGTGATTTAGGGCTATACAAGAATAAATTGTATTGTATTGTATTGTATTTTGTTTTAAGTTTGTGTTTGTGATGCCACATAACAGAGATAGGGTTTGAAGGTAAAATCCATCAAAAAGGGATTTTGAGTAAGTGCATAGGAGGCTGTGGGGGACTGAGACTGAAAGGCCAATGTCTGTCACTGGACAAAGAGCAGAGCGCAGAGCTGAATAAATCCTGTTATTCGCCCTGCTCCTCATTGAGCTGGAGAAAGTTTTACACAATGCAGCACAAACCCGAGTGAAATAGAAAGAATTGAAGAACTTGATCTTAATGACTTAAACAGCACAAATCCACTTTGGTGGAAGCTCACGGTGCACCTGGTTGTATCTACATCTGCAACAAGGCAGGGCTGCACACTGAGAGCCGCAAACATAGATCTGCAGGATTGTCATTGCATTTGTCGGTAAATAGGCAATCATCCGGCTGCACCGGTAAAACCACACTCACCTAGTGCTGCCTTCACTACGCCTCAAACATGGAGAAAAGAATGTTATATCCAGCTCATATACAGTGTCCTGACACGTGTTTTTTACCGTTGTCATTATTTGTACTACTGAAAGCTGACGCTGACAAGAGCCCTAAGTTACAGGTGTAAATTTGCTGCTCCAAGAGTGTGTGGGAAACTGACACTGTTCATCCAAATCATTTAAATACTTCCTTCTTTGGACAAACAATGTTTGGTCAAGTGAAATTAAATACCCTTTAAATAAGTGCAAAATTTAATATGGTTGGATGAAGCCATTTCCTTTTTTTGTTTACATAAATGGTGAGTGAAGCGAGTGGACTGACGGCTGTGAAACAGAAAACCGTTACAGATTGTCCTTATGTCACATCTTGTCCTTACGTCACATCTTGTCCTTACGTCACATCTTGTCCTTACGTCACATCTTGTGTCATAAGGACAATGTCTCACGGGACAAACAATCCAGTGGTCTCAATTTTCAAAATACTTCTTAATTACAGCCCTATGTATAAGTGACTATTATGTTCAATTAAGAGAGATAATGACAGACAGAACAATTGTGGAATGTTGCGTACGTTTATTAATCTTTCTGAATAACGATTGGCCCATGCTTGGTCAACATCTCAGTGACGATGGCCATGAGCAGGCAGCCTTCCCAGCAGTAAACCCGAGAAGTACAATGACAAGTTGGAGTGATGACTAAAGCGCTCCTCTGGTGGCATGTTGCCTTGACCCCCATCACCTCTGCCTTTTTCTACATTGTGTTAGAATGCTGCTCAGTGAAATATTTTACAATGACATTTTAGTTAGTCAGAGGTGTCCAGGTAACGTGTCAAATTGCAGGGCTGCTCCTGGGGTCAGTGTTCACCACTGATGGCTCTAGAGTTTCTTAGTCGTAATCTTTGGCATCAATAATTCATTGTCTGGCTAAGACTTCACATGTGGAGGATCCTAAGTGTGTGGGATTCACCCTATAGAAAGTGTCAAGACAGCTGATCCACACGGCCTACTGTAGTCTGTAATCTGTCTTTTAGGAAAGTGAAGCCTTTGTTCCAAGAAAGTGTAGTGTAAAAGCAAAAAAAAAAAAAACATTTAAGGGAAAGTTTTATGAATTGTACAATGTGGACTATAACAGTATTAGAAATAAACATCTGCAAATCTAAATCCAAATTAATCCAAAATTCATCATTTATTTCATCACATGTTTATGTGTTAAGAAACATGTTTACTTCTTTTTGGGTATGATTATGTGGAATTACAGGCTCTAATATCAGGCTTTTCCAAGTAAGACTCGAGCCCTGGCTTCCCTGCTCCAGAGACGCCCGTGGTCGGTGACTTGTGGTAATCTTTGGCAAACTGGCTCTCATACTCATGCATGTAGTAGTTTGAGCCCGGGAGGCCTGCAGTGGGAGCTCATTTATCAATCCAACAGCCATAGACGTCGGAACTAGGGGTGCGGGGGGTGCGGCCGCACCCCCTCCGCGTGTGCCGGGAGCGAGAAGTTATCACTATCCTGCGTTCCTTGCAGCCCAAAACCCGCTCCATGCTGTCGGAGAAGCTTATGAAGCTCTGTCTGGCTAATATCTGTCGCAGCCTCTGAGCGCTCTTTCTCAGCCTTGCGCAGATTAGAGACCTGGCTACACCAGTGACGTGCGGTGGGGGATCAATCATGTGTTCATATGATTATACATCATATAAACCAACAGGAACAGGAGCGGCTTATACACAATTTGTTTGGCTACAGCAGAATATGATTTAATGTCTGCATTGTTTTCTCATACAAAACGCAAACGTTTGTAAAAAGTACAAAGTGTGTTATGGGCCTTACCTTAGGTATTAATGAACAGCACAGACCACTTCAGTTAGGACCAGTTTCATGTTTAAGTCCAGATAATAGTTTGAGCACAGACATGTAATCCTCCATTTGGAAATAAGTTCAATGAGTTTTAAAAAGTAAAAAAAACGGGTGTCTCCTCCGTAAACTCCGAGTTTTGCTGCAGCCGACTCCCGGTTAAATCCAATTTCTAAATTCAACCTTACCCTTCACCTCCTTTTCTTATGATTCATATCATCATTGGAAGCAAAACATTACTCTAAGTGCATTTTAAATTATCTTAAAATGTATTATAGGTATGTTAGCCAAACCTGTAGCTGCCCTTAGCAGAAGAAGAACAAGAAAGGAGCTTTCTGATGGAATTGGATGCAGCCAAAGTTTGGGCTCACAAGCGCCCCCCTGAGGCTTTCCTCACTTACAAGCTGTGGTTGAGCGCGATTAAGACCCATATTTGCTTCAAAAACACAATTTATGAGCCATCCTCTTAAATGTAAACATGTTGATTGTAAATTAAATATTTTTGAACTTTTTAAACTGTGATAAACAGAGAAAACAGTTTGATAGCACCTCACAGGACTCTCCCTGTGAGCTGTTGCTTTTTACGTCTCCCAAGAGAGGCTCGCCTCACAGCACCGCTCTGTCAAATCTGCGATTTCAAGGTATAAATAAATGAAATAAGACACAGCACAAATCACTTGATAAAGTGACCAAACATTATTGTATCCATTTTATTACTTTTCTTTCTATGATCTTAGGTGAGGGCCTTGCCTGCCTCATCTGACCGCACGTCACTGGGCTACACAACACAATGAAGCCACCGGAGAGACTGACGCATGAATGCGTATTGAAAAAAAAAAGTTCAGTTTGATAAGTGACTTGCTTGATATATATTGTTTATTTTGTTTTTCTTAACAATTAAGATGGTATGTTATTATCCAGTGTAATCCAAGTATGAGTCTCTCCCTCGACTCTCCCAACAAAAACCCGCCCCCCCTCTCAGAAAATAGTTCCGACGTCCATGCCAACAGCTCTGGACAATCATCAGTGGAGCCAGAGTGCTAT